TATACAAGGAAATGTCAATTCCACTGTTACATAACAGACATAGAAGTACAATATTATCATTGGCATCCGACCTTCCTTCATTATTTTTCAGCCAGACAGATTTTCACGAAACGTAACACATATTGAACGAAATTGTCACAGAGTTATTGAAGACAAATAATTCTCAGGTCCCAACAAGCTTTTCTATGTTTGGTACTCTGAAACTCTGAACTTTTTTCCAAGTAAGTTATAAACAACCGTTTCAATTGTAAATCCTAGAAAGTTTTAAACAACAGTTTCAGTTATAAATCCAAGTAAGTTATAGACAACCGTTTCAATTTTAAATCCAAGTAAGCTATAAACAACAGTTTCAATTGTAAATCCCAGTAAGCAATAAACAACAGTTTCAATTGTGAATCCCAGTAAGCTATAAATAACAGTTTCAATTATAAATCCTAGAAAGTTTTAAACAACCGTTTCAATTGTAAATCCCAGTAAGCAATAAACAAGTTTTAATTGTAAATCCCAGTAAGCTATAAACAACAGTTTCAATTATAAATCCTAGAAAGTTTTAAACAACAGTTTCAATTATAAATCCCAGTAAGGATAAACAAGTTTCAATTGTAAATCCCAGTAAGCTATAAACAACAGTTTCAATTGTAAATCCCAGTAAGCTGTAAACAACAGTTTCAATTGTAAATCCCAAGTGACAAGCAAGAGTAATTTGACAGTGAATCCAATGCTCATAAGTGTCACCACAGTGATACAAGTAAAAACAATGCATCACTCCGGGTTTTCCCCCTCATCAAGCTGACACGACTAATATACCTGTATTATAATCAAAGCGGCGACATATGTATCAAAGGTAACCATTAACTAGATTGAAATACATCATAATATGTTAAGTTTGCACATAAAATGAACATTGAATGACTTAAATAAAAATTGCCAGGATCACCAAATAGGAGTGTTGTACGCCGCTTTAGTAATAATCCAGCGACAGGTAACACTCACTCACTCACTCACTCACCCACTCACTCACTCACTCACTCACTCACTCACTCACTCACTCACTCACTCACTTTCGTGTCATATACAACCAGCACATATACCACACATATACAAATTAAAACACACGGGGCATACAAGCTAGCACATATACAATTAACATCAACAAATGGACCTTTCACTGTTCCCACAGACCGTTAATCCGGAAACTACTTACACCGGACGATTAAACCGGGAACGGTAGCAGCCGCACTAACGGGGTTAAGCCTTACACTCGGCATATTGCTTGGGGTGTTGTTAGTAAATTAGGAGCAATATGTCTGATTAATATATCATTTACATTTATGACCGTCTTCAAAATGTACAACCAGCACGTATACATCACAAACACAGTTATCAAACACACACACACACACACACACACACACACACACGCACGCACGCACGCACGCACGCACGCACGCACGCACCCACACGCACACGCACACACACTCGTCACGTGAACAACGCTAACCAGCACGTAAACAACACATATACAATAAAACACATGCACACTCGTCACACACACGCGCGCGTACGTACGCACGCACGCACGCACGCACGCACGCACGCACGCACGCAAGAACGCACACACACACACAATAACATACATTTCAGCAACCTATGCTGGTCCCCTGTGGGGATTCCGGGTTAGAACTGACTCCAGCAACCTGTGCTTGTCCTCCGTGGAGATTCCGGGTTAGAACTGACTCCAGCAACCTGTGCTTGTCCTCCGTGGAGATTCCGGGTTAGAACTGACCCCAAACAGCCTATGCTCGTCCCCCTCGGGGAATCCGGGTTAGAACTGACCCCAGCAACCTATGCTGGTCCCCCTCGGGGAATCCGGGTTAGAACTGAACCCAGCAACCTATGCTGGGCCCCCATGGGGATTCCGCGATAGAACTGACCCCAGCAACCTATGCTGGGCCCTGTTCCACAAAGCGATCTTAGCGCTACGACTATCGTACATCCCAGTTTTAAGATGCGAATCAGTGGGTCAGGTGGTCAGGCTTGGTGACCTGGTTGATTGCTTGTCAGCATGTCCCGACGGCATGGATCGATGCTCACAACGTCAATCAGTCACTGGGTTTTCTTGAACAGGCTCAACTATTTACAGGCCGTCTTCGAATAGCTGCAACATTGCTGAGTGCGGCATTCAACACCAAACCAACAAAGTTTTAACCTATCCATTTCCATGAATATGATTGCCGCTAAGGCAGTGTCGCATTTGCTTTAGTGTGCATATCTTCTGTTCGTTTGTTTTTAACGCCGCACTCAGAACTATTCCAGCTATATTGCGTCGGCCTGTAAATAATCAAATCAGGACCGGACAATCCAGTGATTGACATCATGAGCATCAGTCTACGCAAATGGGATACGTAGACATGCATCAACCAAGTCAGCGAGCCTGACCAGCCGATCCCGTTAGTAGCCTTTTTACGACAAGCACAGGCTGCGGCAGACCTATATTTTTACCTGGATAAATATTAAATATTAATAGCATTAGCAAATCGATCACAGTATTGAGGCCATGTTATGGCAAGAGGCACGTATGGAGCCATATGTTTCTAGAGTTGTTTGTTTTCTTTTTTCTTAACTTTTGGTCGACCGTTTTATAATGTTTGTTTGCTAGGTATATTTGTGTTATTGTGTCGAATGCTGATGTGTCGAATTATCGGTTCTTTCGAAATGATTGTTTGGTCCCGCGAATTCCTTTAATTTGTATCATTATTTGACCTCTGATAAAAGATAATGCATATGTCGAATCATTGGTTGACTGAAACAATATTGCTCTGATAAGTCGATCTGGTAATAAAACTTTTCATCCTGTAATAAATAACTATATTTTACAATGTAATACATTTTTATCAAACTCACTGGTAAGCCATATAAAAGGTAGCTAAAGACAGGAATATTGTAGCGTACACGAGGCAAAGGACAGGAATATTGTAACGTACACGAGGCAAAAGACAGGAAAATTGTAGCGTACACGAGGCAAAGGACAGGAATATTGTAGCGTACACGAGGCAAAAGACAGGAATATTGTAGCGTACACGAGGCAAAAGACAGGAATATTGTAGCGTACACGAGGCAAAAGTCAGGAATATTGTAGCGTACACGAGGCAAAGGACAGGAATATTGTAGCGTACACGAGGCAAAGGACAGGAATATTGTAGCGTACACGAGGCAAAAGACAGGAATATAGTAGCGTACACGAGGCAAAAGACAGGAACAGACAGAAATATTGTAGCGTACACGAGGCAAAAGACAGGAACAGACAGAAATATTGTAGCGTACACGAGGCAAAAGACAGGAATTTTCCAAAAATGTGAGAAAGAAATCACCAAACAAAAGCTGCACCTTGACAGTTGATATAATGTCATTAGGCTTCCTTTTGTCAAGCTGCATCTCGCAGGTGGTGATGCACTGACGTCATCACTTTCTGCGCTCCTGGCTGCACTACAGATTAATCAAAAGGTGCCTCCGTCCAGACTAATGATCAATAATGCATTGCAAGGAAATGTCACCTTAATGAAGCTGTCAGCTCAATTCTTATCCTGTTTTAGATTGTTTGTTTGGCTTAATGTCGATTTTGATTCATGTTGAATATATCAAGTTGAATATTGCCATATCATTACACTAGATCAAGAGTGTGATTCATGTATGTTCCTTCACAACACACAATAGAGCATTAACGTTTTAAAGATTTGCGATTTTCCTTAACATGGTAAATATCATATTCATTTTTAAAGATTCCTGTTTAGAAGGATTCGTACTGGTAATGATTCTTGATCTGTCTGAACTTTACCCGTGTTTCACGATCTGAGTCACTTAAGCTGCCTACACCCGGAAAAAGATATCGCTGAAATACCTTAAACCTATGAAAGGAGTGAGTGAGTGAGTGAGTTGGGTTTAACGCCGCTTTTAACAGTATTCCAGTTATATCACGGCCTGTCAGCTTAATGTGGGAGAGCAAAGCCCGAAGTGATGCAGGTCTCAGACGTTTACCACTTCGGTGAAACCCACGAGCACGGGTATGGTGCTGACAAACCTAGAAACTTAATTGGGGCGAACCGGGATTCGAACCCACAATCATAGGTTTCTGGCGTGCCCAAGGGACGCAACTCTGCACAGCGAATCGCGGCGCCTTAGACGACTGGGCCACCCGTGCCCCCCCCCCCCCCCCCCCCCCCCTATTAAAGGAGTAAGGTGGCTTAGCGTCAACGCATCCCAATGTCTTTGTACGCCAAAGAACCGAGTTCGATTACGAGTATGTGAGTGAGTGTGCTTTTGTGCCGCTTTTAGCAGTATTCCAGCAATTTTACGGCGGACACCAGAAATGGGCTTCACACATTGTACCAATAAGGGGGAATCGTACACCGACCTTCGGTGTGACGAGCAATCGCTTTAACCACTAGGCTACCCCACCGCTCCCGTATCGAGAACTAAAAATGTCGGACAAAAGAAAGTATACACACACGTTTGATGGTGGCCTATAATTAAACAAACAAGAAATGTTTTTTTCGCCGCCCCTGATTACTCACACAGGTTCAACCTGCTGGGGCCTTCCTAGTGACGCTTTTTATATTTTTTAACATATTTTTTTAAATTTTCACATCTGAAATATAATTGTTCGCTTGGCATGCTGGGTATTGTGAAAAGAATTTGTGTTGTAAAAAATATTTACATCGTTCACCTCCTTTCAGAGATAAGACAAAAACAGTGACCGACAAAAATTGTCCCTGAATCATTATTTTCCTTTTCGTCCAGCCCTTACTGTAACGCAGAAGCCCTAAATAAAGTCTAGATTTTCTACAGGTCTCCCAACTCACAGGGGCTCCTTTTCAATTTAAGTTGTTTGTTTATATCCAATATATTTTCAGAGACAAAGCGTTAGTCTGGACAAATAGTTTCTGTCGCGTATGTCTTGCGACGTAAAATCTGTCTCATTCGGTTTCTTTTTCTACAAACAGGTAAGACCCTGGAGAACTGCACGGCGACAGAGAACACGTACATGATGCAGCCACAAGGGGTGCCGGTGAAGGGGGATATATCGGTAGACGAGGAAGAGAGGGAAACGTGGGCCAAAAAAATTGACTTCTTGTTATCAGTGGTTGGCTTCGCCGTGGACCTTGCAAATGTCTGGAGATTCCCGTATCTGTGTTACAAAAATGGCGGAGGTAAGGGAGACAACCCATTTAGTTATTTAAGGGAGATAACTCTCATATCGTATGCATACACTTTTTCTTATGAATTCATTGTCCATTGATAAGTCACCAAAACCTATAAACGTTATCAAAACGCTCATTGACTGATCTTTTGTGAGATACTCATTGATATGATACATCACCATTGAATAACCATTTCTTTTCTTTTTTTCACTTTAGCTGGCAGTTAATACTAATTAAGTCAGATTTGAAAAACAAAATCTATGTTTTTCAAAACTCTTAATATCATATATAAGGTCCAGAACTGACAGTGGGCAGATGATTTGTAGTTTCTCGTTTCTTGTTCCTAAAAAATGTCCTTATATTTACAACAACTCTCTTTTTTTTTCAGGCGCCTTCTTAATACCCTACCTACTTATGTTGATTCTTGGAGGGATACCATTGTTCTATATGGAGCTGGCCTTGGGTCAGTTTAACCGGACAGGTGCCATCACGTGCTGGGGTAGAATCTGTCCGCTATTTAAAGGTAATTGGTGGGTTTTTATATTTTCAAGGGAAATTTCGTGTGTTCTTCCTGTTGCTGAAAATGTAAATCAAGTCAATCATTAAAAAATCGCATGGCGTTATTTTGACGTGACGCCAACAGCATATTCACCCTTTAGTAGCTAGTCTGTATGTGTTGCCCGCTCGTCCTAAATTACCGTTCGGCTATAAAATAAATGTATATCCATCCATTCGCCCGCCTGAATATACATGAATATCTTACCGTTTGTGCTTTTTAGAAGAAAAAAGCTCTTTCTGTATTTAATTGGAAGAATGTTCAAAGACAGGAAGTAGCTCTGCCCGTAGCTTTGTTTTTATACAGCTCTCCGCTTTTTCCGTGTTTTTAACGGAGATACCGAGTCAGGAGCACTCAACACCGAGTCAGGAGCCATTACAAAATATCGATGCCCTGTTCATCAGAACGTGCACTTTTCGAAATTGTTCAAATTTCATAATTTCATCCTGATGTCAAGATTCAAATTGTGAAACATTTTGGCATTGTATTTACTGACACATTTAGCAGTTATATTGTATACCAAAATTATTTTGTTTCTAGCTATTATTATTCTTTGATTTAGTTCTACCGCGCTCCCACTCCCTCTGAATCTGAACATTGAAATGAGAAAGACACAAAACAATATGACATGACAGGATCTTAAGTTGCTTACCCCGCTCACAGAGAGCCGGGTTAATATATATTTAATAGCTGTGCTTTAGTTGAAATGATAAATGTTAACGACTTGGCGCTTGATGCTTCACTGTTACATAGCAGACATCGACGGGCTGGATTGCCACCTCTGTAGAGGAAAACTTGAAGCTTACCATACGTATAGTGCTGACAAACCTAGAACCGGGATTCGAACCCATCATAGGGGCTGACATAGTTAGCTTATATAGTCAACTGTATTCAAATATATACCATTTGAGTGTAACAGTGTTCTGAGAATTGCGAACGTTGTTGCACAATTTGTTATTTAGAAAAAATATGATTGTTTGTTGTTTGACGCCGCACTCAGCAAAATTCCAGCTGTATGGCGGCGGTCTGTAAATAATCGAGTCTGGACCAGACAGTCCAGTGATTGACATCAAGAGCATTAATACGATGACATGCATCAGCCAAGTCAGCGAGCCTGACCACCCGATCCCGTTGGTCGCCTTTTACGACAAGTATAGTTCTTAGAAAATCATTAAATACGTATGGTGGGTGTGGGAAATACAAAATATATTGCCCCGAAAGGAAACATTATCAATTTCTTATCCAATAAATCATAAAGCACGTTGCTATCGCTATCTAAACTGTTTTATGCATGTGATCAGGTTCGTTCAAAGCTTGGTTTTTAAATGTATTTTCAAATCAGGTCCCTACTCCTTTGGCACAATAGAACATGCTGCGCCAAGTATTTGGACATCGAACATCGTCGTCGATATCGATAAAAATAATACCCACAGGAAAAAATGGGACATTGATTTAAATTCTAGTGTATTAGAATTTTCGAATAAGTCCATTTTTTCCAATGTGACTGCTTCTCAACATCAAAATAAGGCTATATTGGAATCGATGCAAACTTGAATTACTCCCATCAAGAAATGAACACTGCAGCTGAAAAGCGTGCAAAAACCTTATTTTAACGACCATACATTTTACGTAACTTTCTTTTTACCCATAAAGTGCTAATCGAAAAGAAATTGGATCTCGTTAGAGTTAGCTCCCTTAGAATAAACGCCACATTCAGACGTTAAGGGAGGGTTTATTGTAATGATTCAAGTCAACCGTCGACTGACAATGGCCGTTAACGATCGTTCGGGTATATTAATGGAACTTTGACGTCAGTTCCGGTGTGGTATTTGCTCTGATGGCGGACTGACACGGTGCGGAGCGTGATTAGAGAGAGCACACATAGTCCGCCGATTGCTTAACTGAATGCGAAAATGGAGTGTTTTAGATTTCAATTGGGGACGTGTTAATTTGATAGGTTGATTTCCGGGGAATTAACCCCGATAGTGGTGAATTCTTCAAGATATGCATTTCAATAAAGAGGGGCTGTGTTCACACTTTCAACGACAAGATACCAATCTTGTAATGGGGGTCCGAATGATAAGAACTAGTACAATTAGCTTTCTTGACCCTAGCCTGCAGAGAGCCACATCTCAATGATTGTGATGGAGTCGATCTAAGATAACCTCATGTTCATTTAATTAATGGAAAATGAGTCTATTATACAAATATCAAGCTTTGCTGAATGTCGTTTGTTCGTGCCATTGGCAAACATTCAACTTTTTATGTTGCAGAAAGTTTTTTTTGTTTAAATGTACTAAAATAATCTTGATTCATGACACGATCAATACTTACGATTATGAAAAAATGCATTGTATAAGTGTAATATCATCACACTAATTGTTATGATAAGCATATGCACAATTATACTGAGAGGAAATGTAGATACCTTTATGTTATCAAACTTTTTGTGTGCAATATTGGCGGTCAGCATAACCTTACACATAGCGTTTCTCTTGTTCACATTCTAAAGCCTTTAAGCGTTCTATATTGTAAACCTCAATTGTAGAGGACGAGATCAATTGCTAAATATAAAGTCAGTTCACACCTGCTTTGATCTCTTCATATTCGTTATATTTAGGTACAAGAATTTATGTCAAACGGTTGGTTATGTTGGAACCGGAAAAATATAAAACTGTTCAACTCTAACATCGACTTTTTGCATATTACGTCATAACACTTTGCATGATGTTTTGGAAAGTCAAACTCGAATATCAGATTTACAAGTATCGTCCTTCTTCTGTCTACATCATTTCTTGCCAAATGGCTTCATTAAAACGCCCAAGGCATTCTTCCCACATTTATATACCTGACACGCCAAAACAAAAGAAATACTGTTTTAAGGGGAATACTACTGATACTAATTTTTTTGACACAGCATTTAAACACATAAACCGGACAGTTATGTTGAAGTTAACAAACTCCCGCATCTCTAGATTTTCCAAGTGTAATTCCACCCAGCCCAATACAGTGAAACCTCGTTAATCCAAACTCTACCAGAAGGTATGATGATGAGATTTGGGCACACAGGAACTGTGAAATTTTGGACACGAGCAAAACCTTTAGAAATATAAACTTTTTGTACTTTCAAATCATGCATGTTTCCCATTAAGGTTAAAAGGTGTCCAATAGAATGGGTTTAGATGTTTCAAAGAAGCGGTGTTTTTTTTAAAATATTTGAACACAGGTATGTCTTTGAGCCAAGCTTAGATTTTGGGAGGAATACATATAGACAGTACAGCAAGATGGTTCAGATTCAGCATGGGTAACGGACTTGCTAAACAGTTATGTTTACTCTTAAAGTTTGAAAATGTGGCCTTTGTCGCTCATTTGAATCATAACTAGGCACTAAATCGTGTCAAGAGTTCAACATTTGCCAACGTAATAAATAAATAAATGACCAGTCGGAGTGAGTGAGTAGCAATACGCCGCTTTTAGCAATATTCAAGCAATATTTGGCGGGGGAAACCAGAAATGGGCTAGTTGGAGGTCATATGAACATGTCCAATAAGTTTCAAGATAATAATAATTCAAAGATTATAATGGTAAGTATATAAAACAAAATACTGATAGTTATATTTGAAAATATTATTTTATACGTTATCTTGTTTGTTTGTTTATTTGTTGTTTAACGCTGCGCTCAGCAATATGCCAGCTATGTTGCGGCGGACTGTAAATAATCGAGTCTGGACCAGACAATCCAATGATTGAGATCATGAGCATCAATCCACGCAATTGGGATACGATGACATGCATCAAACCAAGTCAGCGAGCCTGACCACCGTTTGTCGCCTCAACGTAATGTTGATTCTTCTGGTTTCAGCCTAGCAACAAGTTGCTAATGTTTGTTATGTTTTGGTCAAAACCAATTTTGAAGTGTATACTTCTTTTGCCCGGTAATGTATTTCCAAAAGACAAATCGATGTTTGTGATATTTGAAATAAAACAAAACTTTTTTCCAGTTAGTATTGTACTGTCCTCGATATTCACCCACTTTTTTCTGTGTATTTCAGGTATAGGCTGGGCGGTAGTGCTGATTGCCTTCTATACAGACTTTTTCTACAACGTAGTCATAGCATGGTGTTTGCACTTTTTCATTGCTTCTTTTACTTGGGAACTGCCCTGGGTACATTGCAATAACAAATGGAACACGCCCCTTTGTTACGACGGTAGTGAAAGAAGGAACCTAAATTTATCCACAAATATCACGGACCCCCTGTGGGCCAACTCGAGTGAGTTCACCGAGTACAGTATTCTGACTGACACCACCACCACCTACAGTATCAACATCACCGGCAACTACTCCGACCTGCCCAGGCGGTCGCCGGCGCACGAGTACTTCGAGTAAGTAGAATTATTTTTCATACTTTAAGCGGAGGCGGGTTGTTTTGTGGTTAAAGCATTCGCTTGTTACGGCGAAACCTGGTTTCGATTCTCAACATAGGTATAATGTATTTGCTCATTTCTGGTGTCCCCCGCCATGCTATTGATGACATATCAAATCTAAATGCGGCGAAAAACTATACTTACTCACCCCCCATACCCAAAACGGGTTTCGGGACTCTTAAAGGTTGTCATCAAATCATGGTAAAAGGTTAAAGACCTGAAGTAACACGTGGTAAGACGTCATAATGGAATTCCCTTTCTGCATACTACAGGAGTTCAACATCTTGATTAAGCGAATTTCAAAAGCAGACAATTAATTGAGTATGTATTGTGAATAGTCAGGTTTACACAAAACCGACACCGTTTGTAAAACGGAAACTTGATGGCAACCATTAACCGATTATGTTTTTAACACTGTCTGTAGCAGTATCACACACATGTAATCTGGCGGGCAAATGAAAGTATACACTTGAAAATTGGATTTGACCAAAAAAAGGTCGTTGCTACAAACCTAAGGTCCAAAACACGTGTTATAGTATCTCGCTAAACGGTGCTCATTATGTCAACCACTGGTTTGCGGACTATTGCTGACTGTGGATTTAAATAACATACTAAAACACATACTAATTGTGAGGGATTATATGACGCGGTGCAGGGTGGATAGACTTAGAACAATTATCGCCCTGTTAGGGAATCGAACCCGGTCTCATGTGTGGTCATATTGTTTAGAATCAGATAAACAGTTATCATTGTATTGTTTTTCCCGTTTGAATGTATCTTTTCATTCCATGACAAACTTGGACTGTTTGGCATTTAATTTCTCATCACAAATCGGGTTTTGGAGTCAGTGATAGGATCTATACAAATCTACAGCATTGTCATGTTACATGTAAGTTCACATCACTACTCCTGTAACATATCGGTGATCAGTTTCATTCAACCTGATTGCTTTCTGTCTCAATTCCTGTGCCTCCGGGGTCTCCCTCATTAATGGACCAACAACAGAGCCGATACTCTTTACAGTCTGGGTCTATTGCACATCACTGCACTGTAAGGGGCCAATCGTTTAATATCTCTCTGTGTCAGTTTGGGTTGGGAATAGAGGGTGGGAGTAAGTGGCTAGCCTTCACGTTTCCATCCATTGGGCACCAGATCTAGGGTCTCCACAAAACCATGTCACAGGTCTCTCTCTCTCTCTCTCTCTCTGTCTGTCTCTCTGTCTCTCTCTGTCTGTCTCTCTGTCTCTCTCTCTCTGTCTCCCTCTCTGTCTCTCTCTCTCTGTCTCTCTCTCTCTCTCTCTCTAATTATCGTTGGGATTTTATATCTGTGTGTGTCTGTGTTTGTCTGTCTGTGTGTGCGCGTGCGTGCATGCGTCTGTTGGAGATGGGAATAGAGGGGATTAAAGGGGCGTTAATGTGTACCCATGATTCGTGGATCCGGGAATTTGTTTCTGGGCGAAATCACTGGGAATAGTACTGACGATGTTCCACTTGGTTTGTCAGCGTCTGTTTGTTGTTAAACAAACCACCAGGTAGTCGCATGGAATACAATGGCATGAGGATTAGTCGGCTCCTGGTTGGAGGGGGTCAACCAGGTGCATTTACAACACTGACATTATCTTAGCTCTTTCCGAAGCTAAGCTCTTGTCAGCACCATATCCGTGCACGTAGGTTTCACCGAAGTGGCAAACGTCTGAGACCTGCATCACTTCGGGCTTTCCTCCCACATTAAGCTGACACGCCGTGATGTAACTGGAATACTGTTAAAAGCGGCGTAAAACCCAACTCACTCACTCACTCACTCATGGACATGCGTTGATACGAGGGAAACAGTGTTTAAGGCGTTTCAACAGCGAAGTTCGTGTCAACTTTATCGATAGCAAGTTGAACCTTCGTGATCTATCACATATTGGATTCTTCTAATGGAGTAGCCATTAGCAAGAGTAGCTACCTACTTCACTGCAGTTAACTTGCCTGTAGTGAACAGTTCCATTTCATCTTGAAATGCATTATCTTGTAACATCCATTGTCAATAGCGAGTACAATGAATAAGATACCATTAGGGCAATTTTGAGTTATATAAGAAATTAGCAAGAGTTCAGTTCTAATAAAAGCGTGTTTCTAATATTTGAATAAATGTGAGCAAATATGTGACTCACGCTGATTTGTCTGTGTGTAAAGAAGGTATGATGATTAGGGTTATCTGAGGTCAGAGAATTTCTAAAAGTCGGTCTTTTTACAAAATACATGACTATATAACGCTTGTTAATTTTACCTTGAAAATCGAATATATTCGTGAATTTGACGTCATTCCGATCATTTATAACGTCACCTTATAGAGGTCATGTCGATCTCCAATGATTCCAAAGCAGATTTGGTTCCCAGTATATCTAGAACCTCATGGCGTCCAAAATATTATTATGATTTTTGTATCTACCTATCTGTTAGAGCCCTTATACACTGCCGGGCAAAGGGAAGTATACACCCTTGTATTCACCCACCTTGTTGATGCTGGCAACAATTGAAATGGTTATTCGATGGTGATGTATTTGATACTGGTATCATTTTGTTTTGGACCTTGAGTTTGAAATGTTTCGGCGACTGAACCGTTTTGATAACGTTTGAAATTTGTTTTTAATTTGAGTTGAGGTGAAATGGAATTTAACGTGGCGTCCAAGCCTACTGCACTTATATAGCGACGTGGATGCACGTGTGTGTGTGTGTGTGTGTGTGTGTGTGTGTGTGTGTGTGTGTGTGTGTGTGTGTGTGTGTGTGTGTGTGTGTGGCTGCTTGTCCTAGTCCGGACTAATGCCGATTTTATAGTGCTATCCCACTGAGACACCATGCCGCAGTTTAACATGAATACCCCACTCAGACACAGTATACTGACTCCAAGGCGACCAGTCCTTATTTTATCCCCTTATTGCCGAGCGCCAGGCAGGGTATTAACAAGTACCATCTCTTAACGTCTTTGGTATGACGCGTCCGGGCATCGAGCCCCGGACCTTCCGCTCTCCGGGCGGACGCTCTGCCACTAGACCACGGAGGCGGTCTCTTTTACCAGGCAGTTTATTAAACATAAAGTTTTATTATGGTACCGACCGCCAAACATTCGTCGATGTATGACTGAAACAATGCATATGCAGCCGATTTTAACTCACTCACTGCCAGCTAATAACCTTTCTGTTAGTTTCTTCAATAGAATTCCCAAAGAAATACTTTATATTAGTTAAAAAGTTAACCCAATGTGTTCTATTACATATTAAACACAATAGGAATACTTTATCACATGTGACTTGGTATAATTTGTTTTTAATGACCCCAAGGATCCCATTAGAACCAAGACGATTTACGGCTGTGACTGTCCTGCACCGACGACAGTATCTACGTTCAATATCTATTCTTATACAACCATCAACTCACGGTGAACATTTTATGATTGCATTGTGCATTTTGTGATTAAGATGTTTTACCTTGCTTGTTTTTTACTCAATTCACCCCATGATACTAATAAACTAAAATGAACTTTTCGACATGCACTCTTTATTTTCAGACATTACATTCTCATAGGAACATTTATTCACTCTGACGCCGTCGTCAGCTGCACGAATTGGCGTATCTCCGTGCACATGCACACAGGGAGAGATTATACACTCGGCTGTAGGATGTTAACAACATCGATTTTATGTCATGAATCTTCTTTACTTAGCAGAGGACACATTTAGCATAATTACATCACGAACAAAAATAATGTGTTACTATGCTATATGTTTGCTCGGAAAAAGGTAAAGTGTTATACAAATCACAGTGATGTTAGACCTTGATAGATTTATTATGACATTGTCATCCCTGGTTGCTGTCAGTGGCAGAAAGGTTTATTCTGAGGTCACGGTGGTCCAGTTGTCTTTGGAATAAATTTCGGTGTACAGAGTTGTGTCCCTTAGTCGTGTCAGGATCCGCTGATGTGATTCTTTGATAGGTTTATTATGACATTGTCATCCCTGGTTGCTGTCAATGCCAGAAAGGTTTATTCTGAGGTCACGGTGGTCCAGTTGTCTTTGGAATAAATTTCGCTTTACAGAGTTGTGTCCCTTAGCCGTGTCAGGATCCGCTGATGTGATTCTTTGATAGGTTTATTATGACATTGTCATCCCTGGTTGCTGTCAGTGGCAGAAAGGTTTATTCTGAGGTCACGGTGGTCCAGTTGTCTATGGAATAAATTTCGGTGTACAGAGTTGTGTCCCTTAGTCGTGTCAGGATCCGCTGATGTGATTCTTTGATAGGTTTATTATGACATTGTCATCCCTGGTTGCTGTCAATGCCAGAAAGGTTTATTCTGAGGTCACGGTGGTCCAGTTGTCTTTGGAATAAATTTCGCTTTACAGAGTTGTGTCCCTTAGCCGTGTCAGGATCCGCTGATGTGATTCTTTGATAGGTTTATTATGACATTGTCATCCCTGGTTGCTGTCAGTGGCAGAAAGGTTTATTCTGAGGTCACGGTGGTCCAGTTGTCTTTGGAATAAATTTCGGTGTACAGAGTTGTGTCCCTTAGTCGTGTCAGGATCCGCTGATGTGATTCTTTGATAGGTTTATTATGACATTGTCATCCCTGGTTGGTGTCAGTGCCAGAAAGGTTTATTCTGAGGTCACGGTAGTTCAGTTGTCTTTGGAATAAAATTCGGTGTACAGAGTTGTGTCCCTTAGCCGTGTCAGGATCCGCTGATGTGATTCTTTGATAGGTTTATTATGACATTGTCATCCCTGGTTGCTGTCAATGCCAGAAAGGTTTATTCTGAGGGCACGGTGGTCCAGTTGTCTTTGGAATAAATTTCGCTTTACAGAGTTGTGTCCCTTAGCCGTGTCAGGATCCGCTGATGTGATTCTTTGATAGGTTTATTGTGATATTGTCATTACTGATTGCTGTAAATGCTACAACTGTCTATCTTTAGGTCACGGTGGTCCAGTTGTCTTTGATGTAAATTTGCTTTGCAGTGTTGTGTCCCTTAGCCATACCAGGATCCGCAGATGTTGAGTTCGAAAAAAACTTATTTTGTTCTGACAATAATCCTTGGTTTGACAACATCATTCACATTCCTTTTACGATTTACTTGCGTCCCTTCCCTCCTATATTAATCAGACAAGTGTATAAAACTGAAATACTGTTCAAAACGCCGCAAACGCCAACTCACTTGCTCGGATTCATCCGTCGAAGTGTCTCGACTGACATATGTCCACATGAGTCTTTACCAGAACCATGCCTGCAAGATGTTAAATATTTTAACTGCCCTTGACTTGTGTTTTGTTAAAAAACAGCTGATACATCATAATTGAAATATCATTAAATATTTCGTTAGGTAGCAATGGTTATAAGGGTTACACATATCCAAGAGAAGCTCCATCATTGCCAAGTGGCGTCAAAGTGATGACTGGAGTTGAACTTCATTCCTGTTAGCTAAACTATGGCGATAAACATACTATGGTTTAATGACGTTAAGAATTTTACCCATGAGCGAGGGAAATTCTGTGCTGAGTTAGTGATAGGAGAGATTGTATTGCTAACGTCATAAGCTTTGGTTGCAAGTGGTTCCAGGGTAGTTACCATGGAACTGAGACATAACCCACAGAAGAAATCGTGGATATATTGAAACGTGACTTGCCTTTCCAAAAAGCCGAAAACAGATTTAACTGTATTTTTGAAATTTATGCACAGCACCAGATCTGAATAGGATTTCATAATACAACTCTTTTATTCCTACCCGATGCAATGTGTAAAGCCAATGTCTTGTGACCCGGCTGTGATAATGCAGAAATAGTGCTAAAAGCGGCTTAAAACTCATTCACTCTATATCCCTTAGAGTGGTTTTGCCATGTATGTGGACCGTGGAACCCCGTTATTCCGGACATCAGCGCTTCAGACTAACGAATCATGGTCACGAAGTTACGTCAGGACATATTTTATCAATAATAATAATCATCATCATCATCATACTACTACTACTACTACTAATAATAATAATAATAATGACGACGACGACGACAACAACAACAACAAAAATCAATAAATATATGCAACTAAACCCTTTCCATAACCGTGCTATAGTGAGGAAATACGTACATATTGTGCAAGTAATATCAGGAGTATAAGTGGCATCCGTCACAAACACATGTAAAGACAAGTCAAGTGTTCACCTGAACAGACACGGGAAAATATGTCACAAGCCACAATAGGGAATTTGATCACTGATGTGTCAACTTTGGAAATGTCCTCAACATTTCTGCCTTGAAACATTTTGAAAGTTTTACTAAGGCCTTTGAATGCTATGAACCAGACCCAACAGCCTTTGAGCAAGAGTCGTATGACTCTCTTTGAAATCTTCGAAAAAACAGCATGTTCCATTGTGCCTCAAAAGTTTTGAAATGTAAACACCAAAGGCTGGAGCTGCTCGAAAACTGCTCGATATAAAAGAAAAGTTGACAATGGAAAAAGTTAAAGTCATCCCTCTTGTCAAACAGTCTTGTGTGGAGTGTTTTTGTCACTCTGTGTCTTTGTGCATAGTTAAAACACATTTCCGCTAAACATACGCCCTTGCTTCAGAAATTTCTATGACCCTGTTCACTTGTAAAACGTTGCCACAAAAAGCAAATAGATAAAACAAACATAATTATTGGAAATGTCTTACGGTGCTAGTGGGAAAATCCATTTAATCACAATTAGACATTTCACGTTGGCAGCAAAATCGAGCAATAAAATATAGCTATGGGAAATTATTTCGCATGCATGTCTATACTGAAATTATTACCAAGATTGGATTTAAAGCAGCACTGATGTGTTTATAAACATGAAGATAACTTATAAATCTAAATAATATAGAAATGTCATGCACATTTTCCTTTGTGTTATATGTGAATGAATGTATGCATGAAACGAACGGGTATTCGTCATGATCAACGTCGTCGTCGTCGTCTTCGTCATGATCATCATCATCAGCAGCAGCAGCATCAGCAGCAGCATCATCACCATCATCATCATCATCATCACAATGAATTTGTATAGCTATGAAATGTATGCCATAAAAGGTGCTCAGTGGGCGCTTTGAAATACAAGATTCACGTGTAATGATCAGCTTTGAATTTAGCATTAGGACTGATTTCGATCTTGTGGTTTTGACAGAAAGAATATTGTTCGAAAAGTGTTTTTCAGAAGGCTCTGTCCCAGATCGATGTTTCACTTAATGTGGGAGGAAAAGCCCGAAGTGATGCAGGTGTTAGACGTTTACCATTTTGGTGAAACCCACGGGCAAGTGTATGGTGCTGAAGCCGTGTGACTCGTCGTCAGAGCGGAATTAAACCCAAATCACTCACTCCCTTCACTTCAGTTTTAATAACACGTTTAACTCTGTTCCTAGTACGCCTTCGGTTCGGTCCATGGTGTATTATAATGTGGTCGACTTTCTGCCTGAAGTCATTGTCAAGTTTTGTTCAAGTATCTTTTTTGCATGTATGAACCCTTGTCCCTTACAACCGAAGAACGCGTGTTACTAGAAAGTTTAGGCTTCATAACAAAAATATTTCTAGGACACATTTTCTCACGGGTATGGTGCTGGAAAAAAATAGAAACATAATCAGTCTGAACCGGGATTCGAACCCAGGATCAAAGGTTTCTTGCACGCCTAAGGGACGCAACTCTGCACAGCGAATTGCAGCGTCCATGAAGATGGCCACCCTTGCCGCCGCAAGATGAAACACACTGTAACACCGTATGGAATCTTTCTCCAAAAAATGATGACCGGACGAATAAATAAGAGAGTGTGTGTACTATAATGTCCAGTATCTAAGACAGTCGATGAGAGACCCAGTAATAATCGTACGACGCTACACGCATGAATTGTTGTCCCTGACTTTAACATGTTTGCATGTACTTACTGACATGGAAATCTGTGTACAATCAAGATCGGAAAGGGGAGTGTTAGGTCGCCTTTGTTTCTCTATCAGGGAGGGGTTAACGAGTACACTTTCAACGAACTGATCGACTAGAGAAACATACTGAATTGATTTTCTCTTTTATCAGTTTACCAGCCATCGATCTTGACAGGTATACGTGGCTCATATATATTGGTTTATTGGTATTTGTCGTCTCAAAGTGTGACTTTCATTATTGAGAATCGTAAAAAAATTGATATTCCATCTCGTGATTTATGATGTGAATCTTAATATGACCTGGATTGATTGGGGCCATTGTTACTTTCTGTGTTGTGTATTTGATAAAAGTATCCCGTCGTGTATTCAACAAATCATTTTTGAATATGTGTGTACAATTTAGTTGAGTTCAGATTATAACAGAGTGAACGATATCGAATCTTGTTGACCTCAATCTAGTCCCATCCCTAGCCGGGCGGTCGGGTAGCCTGGTGGTTAAAGCGTTCGCTCATCACGCCAAACATCCGGGTTCGATTCCCGATATGGGTACAATCTGAGAAGCCCATTTCTGGTGTCCCCCGCCGTGATATTGTTGGAATATTGCTAAAAGCGGCGTAAAACCATACTCACCCACTCACCCACTCACCCACTCACCCATCCCAAGCCAAAACTATATCAATTTAGTTTTAGTGATAGCAGGCGTACTAAGATTTCTGCCGCTCCCTTAAATACTAATGGACAGTACCGTAACCTAATGGTTAATTCAACCATAATCGTCAAATGTCACGCCCAAAATCAAGGTACGATTACAATCAGCATGCACATTGTGGAGTCTGTTCCCGATATGTTCGGCTAAGACATTACTGTTGTACACTCGGACCCACTCGGCTTTTTACGTTGACTACCCAATGCCTGTATTTGAGTAGTGATATGAACAAACTCACTCTAAACCGTGTAACGCCAGATCCCGCCGCAAATGGTTCGTTCGCATGACATTTTGTGAAAATAGGTTATTCTGTGCTAATGAAAATTAGTCAAACACATTGATTTAAATATAGAATGAAACGGAATCAATGTGAAGGTTATAAACATTCACGACTTCCATCAGCTGGTTATGTTGTTTCGCGTGATAGTCACGTGCACGAAACAAGATCCAATATGGCTTCTTGTCGGTGCTGGTGAAGGACGTATTGGACTGAGAAGAGCCGAGGCGACATTACGTAGAGGGGAATGTCCGAGTAACTCTCCATTCCTTAAAAATAATGGAGCAGAGGCCCCGCAGGGGCCGAGGCCCATTATTTTTAAGGAATGGAGAGTTACGAGGATATTCCCCTACTTAAAACTCATCCCTACTTTTACACTTTGACAAAATATTCCGTAGTTGAAAATATTTGAAAAATTCAAATGCTGCTTCAAGATAATGTACAGTTGACAAGCAACTCTCCATTCCTGAAAAATAATGGAGCGTTCAAACAATAGAATGACGTCACAGATGTGTTTTAATGCTTGAAATAGGATTAAACCTCATTAACTCACCCATAGTAAGGAACAACGACGTATAGATTGTATTTACATGTCTGCATCCAATTGGATACGCCTATACTGAATCAAAATGTTAACAAATTGTTTCAACCTAATACACCTAGGATCTGGAGTGAAGACAAAAATGCCAGTCATCGCCACAATTCGTGGATGTAAATGTGTTTGTTTTAGAAGCAAATGGTCGAATTAGCCTTCTTGACCCATTAGCAGTCTAGTTCCGGGTGGGCTTGAGTATCTCCTTTATCCGAACATTAACTTGCAGACGCGGCTTCCTGGAGCTGCACGAGAGTGGGGGACTGTTCGCGGTCGGGGAACTCAAGTGGCAGCTCGTCCTGTGTCTCCTGGGAGTCTATGTTATCTGCTACTTCAGTTTGTGGAAGGGGATCCACACTTCAGGGAAGGTAACTCTGCTTTTACCTTCCTTAAGGGGATGCAACTCTTTCAAACCTAATCGAAGCCATACCAAATAAATGTCTGGAAGTCACTGGCGAATCCGGAAGGGGGAGTGCAGGGGGTGCACATCCCATCTTTCTTCAAACACCATATTTGTGAACTGTCTCTTCGACCAAGTTACTTTGTTACTTTGGTATTATGTGCATCCAAACTTTTTTTCAGAATCCTTGAACCGCCTCTGAACGTATCATTAAACTGTTGCCGTCATGCATATCTGCGATGTAAATATATATGTTCATCGTGTGTAATATGTTAATGTTGTATTGATAATCTTCAAAATATTGGTAATATCAGAGACCATAAAATCAAAATTGAAAAAAATATTTTATGTTCTCCGGTTATTCTCAAGCCATTTTACTCAATACTGGAAAGGGAGGTCACTCTAAATGTGTGTTCCAGGTGGTGTGGTTTACGGCCTTGTTCCCCTATGCCGTGCTTCTCATCCTGATGGGGAGGGGCGCGACGCTCCCGGGGGCTGCGGAGGGTATCAAGTATTACCTCAACCCCAACTTCACCAGACTCGCTTCGCCTGAGGTGAGTAGACGGTGGGGGTTTGGAGAAACCAGTCTGTCTGTCTATATTGATATTCAAAATTGCCTATTTCTTTTGGAATTGTACTGAAAATACACTTACATATAGATAATACCCCAACATGTTCTTCATTTTATTTTTCCAATTTCAACTAAATATGGGAGGAACACATGCTGGCAATAAGGTTTGTACGACCCTGAGCGGTTGTTGACAACGCTCAGCCGAAGAGAAAAAAACCAACAGATTTTCAAGCAAAATCTAACGATACGATGATCATTATTTTTGTTTCCTAAGGTCCATCTTCCCGAGTCAAGGGAGTTAACTGACTATAAAAGTCCCCTTTCCTCTCTTGTCGAACTAGGCTGTATTGTAAGGAGTTATATTTTGGCTGGACTAACGAGTCTGTGCATAGTCCAATCAAAATCGCGAAACGAAATCGCCATCCGGTTCGTAAAATACCGTGCAGATTTCGATGGATTGCAGGATTTGCAAGGTATGTGTCCCGTCAACCTAGCGTCAACAGATATTTTCCGAATCTTTACATGTCAAGGTGTCCACGTAATTTGATCTTGATTATCGATCAGATCGTCTCGACTGAACGCCGCCATTTTGTTCGAAGCCAATGCAAGTGATATGAGAAGTGGAATCTGATTGGTCATTAGGTGGCGCTACGACCGAGCTTAGAAATTCCAGCCTAGTTCGGCAAGGGTGGAAACATGACATTTACAGTCATGCCTGAGGAAGATGCTTTAGTTCATGGTGATACAGTGTATACAACATTTAACACATGCAAAACAATTGAGATTTAATCAATCCTTCTACACCTAATTAAACTCCATATTGATAATGATACTCCAAAGCAAGTCATTTAAGCACTTGACATTAGAGACGGACCATTTGAAATCCGGGGGAAGAGAGGGGCTGGGATTTTGTATCGAGATTAATTAAAGTAAAACACCCTTCCCGAATATCAAATGGTCAGTCCCTAACTCTCTTCCTCTGTACCAGGTGTGGGTTGACGCCGCTACACAGGTCTTCTTCTCCCTGGGGCCAGGGTTCGGCGTGCTGTTGGCCTTCGCCAGTTATAATCCCATCACCAACAACGTGTACAGGTGAGAACAGGACCATGGGTGGTGCATGGGTTACCAAAACCATGTTACATGTCTCTCTCTCTCTCTCTCTCTCTCTCTCTCTCTCTCTCCGTCCGTCCGTTTCACGCTATCTCTTTCCATCTTTCAGTCGTGTTGAGAAAGGTAAATATGTCCTTGTCTATCCATTAAATTCATAAAGACTTTCATTAAAATAATATTTTACCATACTCAATCCATTTATCGTACAGTAACGATTTTATTACCAGGCCTGAGTCAAGGAGCTTGCAAACAAGGGCAGGAGGACATTTAATTTTAGAACGTACTTTTGCCCATGTATCCACGGAGTACACGCGTGTTTCATCTGGCCATGACATACACGATCGACCGACTGCATTCAGTTCAGATCGCGTTCTTCATGACCCGTCAAATGTTTCAACTACAAATGGCGAAATCTTGTCTTGTGGGTTCATTACACAAGCTGGCCTTTGGAAAGCGGGAATTATTGGCGCAAATTCGTCCTTCAAGAAGCAGACGACAAAAGGACAATGCAGCCATATTGGACGACGAGATGTCATCGATTATGCCAATATGGCTCTCATGCCTGAGTTTCTGGAAATGGAAGAGAGAAAAAATTTCCCGCCAAATTTCATTAACTTTTGACAGTAGGCAATGGGGCGGTTTCCTTGAGCACTTGAGAAAGGCTGGTTAGAGATTAGCGCTGCAGAGGTATGGCGGGAATTGATGTGGGGTCACGCGCTCATCTTTGGATACCCTCGAGCCAGAACATTATGCAGAGGGCAATATTTCTGAAGGGAACGGAAACCGCTTCCAGACTGTGATTGGCAATACTGTCAACTTAAGTTAAAATTACTCAAAGCCGCGAAGTCGTGGACCAGAGACGAGGCAATACAAACGTCATAATTGGCCATCACTCGTATAGTATGGTTAATTGCTACACCGGAAATCGCCTGCCCAGCAAAGGTCACTTCCACTTTGTCCTCCGTGAAAGGTGTAAAACTTGAAAGGATTGCGACTGTGATATTTTGCCAATAAATGGGCGATGATTGTCTCTTTAGATGGAGAAATGCCGTGGTGCTGGAGACGTCGTAACACCCAGTGTGCAGCAACGTTGCAGCGTTAGATCATTCTCTTTGTGTAAATGATCGCGATATAACGTTGTTTATATGGTCAGATTAAGGTTATGTCATTGCTGCACCCGTCTGAATTTTTCAAACCCCAATATGTTTTTGTTTTTTTAAATGTATAAAAAATGCATGGTCGTGCACAGACTATGGTGATGTCGCTGCGCTGTTGTTTTTATTTTCTATTATCTTTATTTCTGTAATTTTTACTTTCACGTTAAATGATTGTTTCGCTAAATGCATATTTAAACATTTGATTATCCCCAGAAGCAATGATTTAATTCCATTTCTCTCATGGCGTTGGGGTAGCTTAATGGTTAAAGCTTTCGCTCGTGACTCCAGTGTCCCGGGTTCGAATTCCCAATTCAGTGCGTGGAGCCCATTTTAGGTGTCCGCCGCTGTGATATTGCTGGAGCATTCCTAATTGCGTCGTAAAGTAAAACCAATCTCCCTCACTCATTCATTCATCCATCAAATTATTCCTTTATAAACAAACAAACTGTACTACGTTTATGTTACTGGTGATTTGTATGCAATGCTATACGACAGAAACCTATACGTTCTCCTCGTTGAAATCAGATTACGTTCCTTATACGTGCCAGGGTCCGAAGATTCGCCCCGATTATTATCCTTCAACTGTCAGCATCATATATATTTTATTTTACCAAAGCGGCAAAGGTCCACCATCTGCGTCAGTTTGGACTTTCAGGTGAACAATTAACTTGCCTCTGCATGTGTTTGTGACAGGTGCCACCGATGGGGCAGGGTACGTTAATCTTTTCGCGAACACCTGGCATCATCACTATTCGATAGTGATTCATAAACACATACTTATGATATAGTCGGAATCTACAATCAACTTTCAGCAGAGATTTCTTATGAATATGGAAAGTGTCTGTCGCTTTTATCTACACAGTAAGCTTGAAAAAGTAAATTCCTTTTTTCTCACGACCCCCATCCCGCCTTTTCCACCGTTTAAAAAAATCATTAAAAGCAATGATATTCTTTAACTGGCCTAAAGCTGACGCGACATGATATAACTAAAGACCCGTGGAGTTACAGGGTAGAATAGGTCTTTAGCAACCCAGGCTTGCCGTAAAAGGCGACTGTGCTTGTCGTAAGAGGTGGGATCGGGTGGTCAGGTTCGCTGACTTGGTTGCTGCATGTATTGCAATTGGTATCCCAATTGTGTAGATCGATGCTCATGATGTCAATGACTGGAGTGTCTAGTCCAGACTCGATTATTTACAGACCGCCGTCACATAGCTGGGATATTGCGGGGTCAAACAAACAAACAAATGATGAATAAAATCATGTTCAAAGCGATTTTCCGGCTAACCCTCGCAAGTAAAAACACCATCAGAAATCCAGGACAAAAGGTACTAAAGGAATATTTGCGTTTGGGTCTCTATATGCTGTGACCATAAATCGTCTCAGCCAGCGAATACGTCATCCTCTTTGTTAGGGTCTAGGCGGTAAACGTTAGACGCGTGTCAGGTTACAGGGTGATGGATTCGTTAAGAGGGTAATGTTTTGATAGACAATACCCGGGCACAACAAGCTATCGAACCTAACCACAGCAAGGAGGTTTTGAAAAGCAGTTTGGGTCTGTTCGTTGAAGCTTATCTCCCTTGCAGTGCATGTACACAGATTTGCTCTTCACTCAAAGACCCGGTTTGGAATCTCCACGTGGGTGTAATGTGCACCCCTCGTTGTGGGAGTGCTGGCTTATTTCGGCGCCATTACCGTCCTCATCACTCACAGAACTGCAGAGTATATAAACAGCGGTTTAATTTTTTTTTCGTGCCTTTCTTTGTATTTGGCTGGCTTCTGATCCAAAAGAACCCGTGTCCACAAACCATAGGGTAGCCTAGTGGTTAAAGCGTTCGCTCCTCACGCTGAAGGTCCGGGTTCGATTCCTAACATGGGTACAATTTGTGAATGTGTGTCCCGGCCCTGATATGGTAAAAAGCGGCGTAAAATCCCACTCACCCATTTATAGTGGGAGTGAGTGAGTATGGTTTAACGCCGCATTTAGCAATATTCCAGCAATATCACGGCGGGGGGCACCAGAAATGGGCTTCACACATTGTACCCATGTCGGCAATCGAACCCGGGTCTTTGGCGCGACGAGCGAACGCTTTAACCACTAGACTACCCGACCGCCCTACTCATTTATATGTAATACATAAGATATCAAGGGCGTGTTTCATGTTTAGGTTTTGATAATACTAAAATGATGATATATTTATGTAATAATATACGTCAGGCTTGTGCCAGAAATATATGCGCGTGGGTTCGAATCCCATATTCGTCCTGATTATGTTTGTCAGCAGCATACCGGTACTCGTGGGTTTCACCAATGTGGTACACAACTACTTTCTACGTTATTTCGGGGTTTCCTCCCAGAACCAGCTCATACGCCGTGATGTGACTGACGTAATGTTAAAAGCGAAGTTAAACCAAATTAATAAATGTGTTACCAAAGAAAAAGTTATTCAAGGGCACCGTGGGGATTCCGAGTTATAATTGATCCCCAATTACATGTGATTGTTATAAGAGGCCGCGAAATCTAGGGATGGTCAGGATCGGTGACTTGATTAATTGCGCGTCATCGTACGCTGACAATGTGTGACATTGTTCATAATCTCAAACACTAGTTTGTCTTATACAGTTTCAAGTATCATTTACAGGCCGTCATCGTATAGCAGGAAGAGTGCGACGCATCTCATTGAAATCCGATCATTAACTCCAATACGATATCTCTCTGCGTGAAGATCTGGGGACACCTCCATAGGAGGTCGCGTCGGGTGAACCCTGAGCGAACTATGACCGACCGATCTAAATAAAGGATGTGTGTGTTTTTTTAGATGTCCGCTTTCTGAATAATTCGGTTCATTTCTTTAACACCTCTATTCGGAAATTTCAATCTTAGCAAAATGAAAATATAAATAAACAAAACACAAATATAGTCGTGATAGGATAGTACACCAACTGAACTGGAATGCCATGGCGCTCAGAAACGACTGGAATTATAAAATATCCACACCGATATATTAGCGCGGCTGTATTATTTTCCGTTCGGAACTCTCCGATTATATTCGCTTTCGAATAAACATTGAATCAAATCCCTGATATGTATTTATTATCCCGGTTTCGTCTTTTACAGGGACGCTCTAATCACCAGCACCATCAACTGCCTGACCAGCTTCTTTTCCGGCTTTGTCATCTTCATGATCCTTGGCTACATGTCCGTCAGGTCTAACCAGCCTATCGATAAGGTTGCCACCGACGGTAAGATCGCGCACATCGGACGTTGTGTACAAGTATATAGTCATAATCGTACCTTTCGCAAGTAGATATACAAGAGCAAGACCTATGGGAATTCGACACAGCCAAGTTCGACACAGAGGCTTGACTGTGTGTGCTTTGGCTGCTACCCGTATAGAATAGGGTTAGAATTGCCCGTGACAACTTATACTGATCCAAAGAGGTGTCCAAAGAGGTGTCTTTATGGTTTGGCGAGTTGGGTGGTCAGGGTCGCTGACTTGGTTGATGCATATCATCGATCCCAGTTGCGTGGATCGATGCTCATGATATAAATCACTGAAATGTCTGATCCAGACTCGATTATTTACAGACCGCCGTCATTTTGCTGGAATATTGCTGAGTGCGGCGTTAAACAACAAACAAACAAACCAACTTTATTTGGTCTGGGTGGTCAGACTCGGAGACCTGGTTGATTGACATCGTACCTCAACCGTTGCTTATGATATCAATCACTGTCTGGCGCAGACTAGATAACAGGCAGCCGTCAAATAGCTGAAATATTGCGTGGTGCGACGTTGAACAAACAAATGTAGACTGTCATCTTAAACAGGACAAGAATTTCCTATTTCATCCATTAATCATCTGTAGACAAAAAACAGTTGTTCAGCCTTTTCCCCCATGTTACCATAAAGGACATGAGGGTGACAAGTGACTTTTATTGTGTAATGACCTGAAACCTATGATTATGGGTTCGATCCTGGTTCGATTATGTGTCTAGGTTTGTCAGCACCATACACATGCTCGTGGGTTTCACGAAAGTGATAAACGTCTGAGACCTGCATCACTTCAGGCTTTCCTCCAACACCAAGCTGACACGTCGTGATTAACTTGAACTATGTTCAAAGCGGCGTAACTCACTCACTCACTTACCCCATGATATAATTATACGTGCAAACAACACATCTTCAGTCAAAACAAACTATTTCTTTGAAGATAATAAGTGTTACCCAAACTATTTCTATAAATGGAATTCGATTATACAAAAAAGTAAACCGAAGAACCAATAATTTTGGTACCGAATTGGGTTTAATACCGGAGACCAAGGTCATAGCCAATTCTCGATATATATTTCTTTGTGTTTCAGAACACGTACGCTTAACTCCAAGTTTCCCATTTGCTTCGAAGCTGTTACATATTCTGTAATGGTAACACAAATGAAACTAATTCAACCACTGTTCTTTAAGTTCTTTAAGTGGCCATGTTTCTTTCAGGGCCTGGCCTCGTTTTCATCGTATACCCGGAAGCTATAGCCACGCTCCCGTGGTCATCGTTTTGGGCCGTCATATTTTTCCTCATGTTGCTAACCCTGGGTCTTGACAGTTCGGTGAGTAGCAACGGTTTGTCAACAATAAAAACAACACCAGTTTTCTCTGAAAGGGTACGCCCCAGACATTCTTTACCTTGAACATCTTCAGTGCGACTCTGAGCACAGATTTCTCACCCTTGCTTTCACCAACTTCACAGGGCCCTTGAAGATCCGGGGTCGAATAGGTCTTCAGCACCCCCATGCTTGCCGTAACAGACGACTGTGATTGTCGTAAGAGGTGACGAACGGGATCGGGTGGTCAGGTTCGCTGACTTGGTTGAAGCATGTCATCGATACCAACTGCGTGGATCGATGCTCACGATATCAATCACTGGATTGTCTGGTCCAGACTTGATTATTGACAGACCGCCGTCATATAGCTGGAATATTGCTGAGTGCGGCGTTAAACCTCAAACCAACCAACCAACCAACTCCACAGCCTAATGAATAAGGAGAACTCAGTACGTTGCTTTCATTAGGCCCCTGTTGTAAACTGCCGGGCAAAAGAAAGTATACACCCATGTTTGATGATGGCTCGAAATGAAACAGATAAGAACTGTTTATTCGATGGTGATGTACTTGATACGGGTATCATAGTTGTGCTTTGGACCTTAAGCTTGCAGTGTTTCGGCGACTGTTTTTAGCCTAGTAACGTTTTGATCAAATTCAATTTTCAAATGTATACTTTGTTTTGCCCGGCGGTTTAATCGACATGGGTCCGACATCTCTTAACGTAAGATTAAATAAATATCCGAACATTTTGTCATTTAATAACGTCAAAAACCAGTTTGTCTTCTGAAAATATTGATGCATTCAAAATCAAAACGCCACGCGTTTACATGTCAATCCTAGAGATATGTACAAAATCGAATTTCTGTCATATGCTACATGTACGTGTCAAACAAATATTTAGGCATCAACAACGATCACAAACTAAGCAATTAAACGACGATTCCCTAGTCAAATTGTAAGTATCAGTGTGTGTCGCTAATTGACCAGACAATATTGAATTGATTTGTCAAGAATCTGGTACAACTGTATCCTTTCAGTATTCATCAGAGAGGTTAAGAGTGCGCGATTGATCGTTGACGGGACGGTAAATAACTTCATGACTATTACAAAACAAGCAATAGATCATCCGAAGCACACTCACTGATGCAGATATTTCCAATATTTGTTCAGAACCAAGTATCTTATCATTACCAACAAGATGCATAAGTGACACACGTGTTGATACAACACTGTCACGCCACCTAGCGGTGAGTCCGAACAACCGGAAGTCCAAACCTTCTTGAAGATGGCCGACATTGAGGCAAGAGGTTCTTGGTCGATTTTATCGCTATATTCTGCTCCAAAACCTGATTGTCCGTTTACTTCATTGGAGGCAGGCATTTTCCCATTCATTTGCTATTAACGCCGGTCGATGGCGCCACTACTTAACTTCCGGTATGGCATGGACAAAGAGAAGGGTCTTTCAGAAGGCAAACATGACGCAGTTGACACGGACAATTAAGAGGTACCCGGGGCTTGTATATGTGATCAATACGCGATTCACAACGAAAAACGGGCGTTATAGTATGGTCCTTGGCCATAAACATTGAACGGGGTTGATGTTGAGGATTAAAGAAGTCATGGATACTTGTCTCGTCAGTGAAAACTACTGCCCTGTTGACGAAAATAGCCGCACCCACAAACGTTACTTTGTTTGACAAGTAAAAACGATAAATGTCCTAGTATGATTAGGACTGGCCATATTCTTACTGCAGGCGTAAAGTGTTAGTGTGTTTTCTAGGGGCGGGTTCTGAAGTAGATTTAATTGATGGAACGTAATCAATAGAGGACATGAAATGAACTAGGCATAAACTAGGGTGTGCATTTCAATGTTTTCGATGTCAGCACAAAATATATCGTATTGTCAGGTTGTACTGATGGAGACATTTTATAAGAATTATAGTTTGAGATAGTAAAACATATTGTATTGTATCGTATTGTATTGTTAATCAGGGACAAACTGCACGCAAGTAAATTGAAAAAGGACTCCATCTGATCCACACACACGGACGCATGCACGCACGCACACGCACACACACACACACACCACTTAAAATTAAGTTTAAAATACAATACACAGTCGAATGCTTCATCCACTGTCTGCAGCGCTAGCATTTGTAGACTTGTTTCAGTTGGGGAAGTGACTTCCTCTGAGCATGCAGAATCCTAGGTCACTTGTAGAGTACTGTATTCTCTGAAACCCTCATTTTGTAACTTGGGAACCCTACAATTAAGGCTTTGAGTCCACTGGACCCCCAAAATAATCATCCCAGCTAAATACCTGATTTATTACATTACATTACGTTAAAGGTGACTATGCTTGTCGTAAGAGGCGACTCACGGGATCGGGCGTTCAGGCTCGCTGACTTGGTTGATGCATGTCATCGTGTCCCAATTGCGTGGATCGATGCTCATGATGTAAATCACTGGACTGGCTGGTCCTAGCTTGATTACTTACAGACCGCAGACACTACACTACACTACACTACGCTACACTACACTACACTTCTCTACGCTACGCTACGCTACACTACACTACACTACATTACTCTACACCACACCACACTACACTACTCTACTCTACGCTACGCTACACTACACTACACTACACTACACTACACTACACTACACTACTCTACTCTACTCTACGCTACACTACACTACACTTCTCTACGCTACACTTCACTACGCTACACTTCACTACACTACACTACGCTACACTTCGCTACACTTCACTACACTACACTACACTACACTACACTACGCTTCGCTACGCTACACTTCACTACACTACACTACACTACACTACACTACACTACACTACACTACATTACTCTACACCACACCACACTACACTACTCTACGCTACGCTACACTACACTACACTACACTACACTACACTACACTACACTACGCTACACTACGCTACACTTCACTACACTACACTACACTACACTACACTACACTACGCTTCGCTACGCTACACTTCACTACACTACACTACACTACACTACACTTCACTACACTAGACTACGCTACGCTACACTACACTACACTTCACGACAAGACACTACACTACGCTACACTACACTACACTACACCAGGAAAACTAATCAAACACCCCAAACTATATATTTACATATGAAAATTTAAAAATCGTATGCCGTATTTACTTTCTGACAAAACAATATTGTTGTTTACAAAGTGACATACTCCTGTTGAAATACAGGGACCGAAATTGATAATGTGATGACGTGTTTTGTAAGTATTCCATAACAATAGTCATATAAAACAATTATAATTTATTTTTTAACTTTACTAATAATTGCAAAAATATTTTCAAAGCTGATATCGATGTTTCAATTATGAATGTGTTCGCAGTTTGGTGGATCAGAGGCTATACTGACGGCTGTTGGTGATGAGTTCCCGATCCTCAAAAGACACCGTGAACTGTTTGTGGGAGGGCTGTTCACGCTCTACTTCTTCGTGGGACTTGCCAGCTGTGCTAAGGTGACCTAAGTGCTAGTCAACAACTTGTTAAATAATGGATGGATGTTCACGACGGTCTATGTATTAACGAGTCCGGGCCAGGCCCATAACGTGTGTGTGGAATTAAACTGGTTCCATTCTTGGTTTGCGCAGCAAAATTAGCGCTTTTTGCCAAAATTATAGTACCATAGTGCACACGCAAGTGCACATGCGCGGCCTCTAATTTTGACGCCGTGATATTTCCGGGATTAGAATATGTCTTTACAAAATCTGTTTGTAGTAAGGGGCGGCTGAATGGATCCGGTAGTCAGACTGAGAGACTTGGTTGGTGGCGTGTCAGCATACCCCAAAAGGGGTGGATCGATGCTCATTATATCAATCACTGACTGGATTATTTACGGAACGCCGTCATATAGTTGGGATATCGTTGGTTGCAGCGTTAAGCAACAAACAAATCTAATTCGACATGGTGTGATTTAAATATTGTTTTAGGCAGAAGTCGGCACGATCTCATTACAATCAGATCTTAGTTCTCGCTTCCGCTGAACAAAGATCTGATGATATCTCATTAAATTTCGCGTCACAAAGACCTTTCGGGAACTTTGACAGACCAATGAAATGACCAAGAAAAAGTCGACATTATCCAATCGGAAAGCAGCTTTCTCGAGCTTTACTGCACAAACTGGCGACTACGCTTTGAAAAATGTTTTGAGGCTCTCGAATCACAATTTGAAGACTAGGGAAGCGTATAAGTGCCACAGTATTAACTACGTAGATCATAAATATATTTTTTAGACTTTGGCACCAATACGCTTCCATAGAAGACTGAAGAAAAGACATTTCTGGAATGTCTAATATATAAGCGAGATTGTATGGCAGTACCTCCTACGGGTTATGGAAAGTGACCCCTAATTGGATGTCCTCAGATCATTGTGTAGCAGTAGAGAGAACTAAGATCTGATTTTGGTGAGATTGGAGTCAGCTACATCTCAGCAGACACTAAATACTATAACCAATCAACGTACAGCTTGAACAGCGCCATCAGGTCACCATGACCCACGATCTGCAATGGCAGACATTGTTACCACACGATTCTCATTTAATGCTCTGGAGCATTGAGAACTGGAACAAAACACTGTTGCCAATAATATAATCTCTTTTAACATAATAAAACAATTGACATATATTGTTTCCTTGTCCCGGATATGTTCTGAATGCATAACACTGGAAACGTTTTCTAAATCTTCAGGAACATTGTGTTAGATTATAATAATTATGATTTGATCTTAATATTATTCTATTATTCTATAAGGCAACTCAAACTCAGATGACGAAGTCAATGAATTACTTTTTGAAGCATTTCATTATTGTCAACTAAAAAAATAACTATTCAGGCTTTTTTGTCCAATTATGTTAGTTGTAAATAGTCGAATGCATATATTGATATACTAAAGTAAACTTTTAAAGATTTTTTTTCATACAAACTACTCCTGGAGTTTTTTTCAAATCCTATTTATTATCAGTAAATTATGTTCGAATTAAAATCTGGTGTTTCAGGGTGGAGCTTATGTCGTCACTCTGTTTGACAAGTTTGCAGCCGGTTATTCTATTCTGTTTGCCGTATTCTTCGAAACTCTTGCAGTCTCGTGGGCTTACGGTATGTATATCAGTCCAGTGCACTCTAAATATATCGACACCTTCATAGATTCTGGAAATTGGTCTCTTAATAGGCTGACACCTGAATAAGTCCTGTCTGAACTGAACTCTTAAAATACCGACACCTGCGTATAAACTCTAAATTAGACTCTAAATAGGCCAACGCCTGAGAAGGTTCTGTCTAAACTGGATTCTTAGTATACCGACACCTGATTTGGTTCGGTCTAGACTGGACTCTTAATAATCAGACACCTGAGTAAGTTCTCTCTAAACTGACATAGCATTTTGGTCCTGGCAAAAATGTGGATTTTCCTCAGAAAGTGTAACTGTTAGGTTTGAAATTGTTGTCTAAACCAACATTGTTTGTCTGGTTACAGTGGTCGGTTTAGACAGAATGTATCCATTTAACATAAAGCCAATGTGTTGTGTGTACAGGAGTAGACCGCTTCTCCGAGGACATCTGCGTGATGGTGGGTCACAGGCCGGGACCCTACTGGTGGATCGTCTGGAAATACATCGCACCCGTGTTTCTAGTGGTATGTCATGAGTTGGTTATACAGCTTTATGGAATAAATACAAGTAACGAGGAATCACCCATTATATGTTTTATCATTTTATCATTTTATCATATGATTTTATCAATTATTATATAACTGAGCCTTGACGAGAAACTTTCAATATTTATTCACGAGGAAAGATATTCAGTTATTCCGAATCGCGAGTAGGTTATCTTTTATATTGCCCATGGTCTGCTTTTTAAGAAAATGTAGAAAAAGGTTTGTTACCTGATCTCATGTGGAGGCATTAAGGCCCTGTTACACTATCAAAAACTTTGATAAAAAAAAGAAGAAGTTTTTTTCTTGGTCAAAGTTGGACTGTTTACACTCATCAAAGGTTTTGGCAGGCCGTCAAAGTTTTGGTGGGAATTATCTTGACGAAGAATGCTTTGGTGTTGTCATATGTATTTTGTGTATTGCCATGTTGAGAAGGCGGCGTCGGGGTAGGCAAAGGCATATTTGGTCCCGAGAATGGCTGCTCGTTGTTGAAACAAATCAACTAATTCCTCCAACATCTCGTCATTTTGACTTGACTCTATGCACTTCCGGTTGAAAAGGGGTAAATGTTCCTTGCAGTCTGATTGGCTAAATTAAATCAACGTCATCAAACTTTGATCAAAGTTTGACGAGAAATGGGATCGGTTTCTATTCCATCAAAGTCCCGTCAAAAACTTTGTCAAAATTTTGACAGCATGTTACACTATCAAAAACTTGGTCAAAATGGACTTTGACCAAGTTTTTGATCAAAGTTTTTGATAGTGTAACGGGGGCTTTAGTTGGCCTACTGTTGGAACGACGTCACATAAAGTCGTGTGACGTTATGAACAATGCATGATGTCATTTGGCGTTCATTTGACGTCGCTGTTGGCATCTTGGCAAACAATGAAAACAATAGAACAATCGGAACGAAGTAGCCAATCAGCATAGAGCAAAAAAACATACTCTCGTTATTTACTCGCTAATTACTCGTTGCTTGTTCGTTGTTCTATGACTACTCGTAGATAATTCTTTTATTAATTCAATCATCCACACCTGCAATCATCTTCAAGGGTATATATTGCTATGGGTTTCATAAGGGTGGATGGTGAAGGGATATATACGATTTTGCCGCGAAAACAACCTCTTATTTCGACATCTTAACAAAAAAGATATCCTAAATCAATAGACTTACCGAATTACATAGATATTATTGACCACCTACAATCGAGAAAAAGGAGGGAATTATTAATCTATTTTAACCATTTCTTCCATACAAATATATGATAAATATTAGTATTTATAATGTTAATGTTAATCTGGGATTTTTTCCTCTTTTTTCACAACTAACGAGCGTATGGATTTTTAATAACAAATCAAAAATATAATTATTGTTATATTGGTTGCTGCTTACATTTGAAATATTGGGGAATTTATAAGAATATGTTTTAAGTCTTTGATGGTTTACTGTTTCACAACAATCGAACGTATGGATTCTGAGATCATTGTATTATGACAACTTTCAGAAGTTAAAAATGTGAATTTCTAAATATTTAATATGTCGCTTTTGCTTTCCAGTTCATTATGGTATTCGGTCTCATTGGACACAAGCCACTGACCTATGACACGTATGTCTACCCCTGGCCGGCCTCGCTGATTGGCTGGGGAATTGCCCTGTCATCCATATTGTGTATACCCGGATTTGCTATCTACAGAATCATCAGGAGAGAGGGGACGCTCACAGAAGTAAGTCCCGGGAATCTATAACTGTACATGTATAGTGAAACGACGTTAGTCCGGAAACCTAGTTAGTCCGGAAACCTTGTTAGTCTGGGAACACCATTAGGTCGGAAACCTGTCAATCGGAAACGCTCGTTAGTGCCCAAACCTTGTTTGTCCGGAAACACATTAGTCTGGAAACCTTGTTAGTCCGGAAACCCTGTTAGTCCAGAAACCCCATTCGTCCGAAAATCTCATGAGTCCGAAAACCCCGTTAGTCGGAAACCTTGTTAGGTCTAAAACCCCATTAGTTTGGAAACCCAATTAGTCCGGAAGCCACGTTAGTTCGGAAACCACGTTAGTCCGGAAACCCCGTTATTTCGGAAACCCCATTAGTCCGGAAACCTCATTAGTCGGACAATCGACTCAGTTTCCTGCTAGCAGATTTTTTCTGTGGTATAGAAAGGGTTTTGTTGCTTTTATTCACAAATAAATGTCAGGTCCAGACTCGATAATTTTCAGGCCTCCGTCATATAGCCAATCACATTCAAATTGAGGAGCCTTTACTCTGATACCATACCTCTGTGCATGACGATCTGAGGAACACCTCCAAAGGACTGGGTGAACTTTACTCAGAGTGAACTTTGCCGCCCAGTTTAAATAAAGGATGCATGGTCTCTTGAGCCAGTCAGATGTCAATTTTCTAAAATTGTGAAACTTCGGTCTTCTCAAAAGAAAAGAGATATACCCTCGATGGCGCATCCTTTTGGGTGTGGATGCCATGGCGCTCAGAAACGACAGAATGTATAAATGTCCACAACATAGCGCCGCTTCATTTTATAGCTTTCGGAACTCATCGTTTTTTTGTCATACAGAATGTGCTTGTCTGAATACCGAAATTGAATAGCCCCGACCCTGATTGGCTGACTGGGAAATCACCTAGCAAAATGATCCTATCGAATGCCATACGGCGTGAATATTGCTGAATGCGTCGTTAAACAAAGCAAACTTTGGCATAACAGAATAAATATTACGTCATGAATTCTGTCTATAATACCCAAAAGACGCTTTACAGTCTTGTCTACGAACGGGAATTTTCAAACATAATAACCACAAATAGATCTATGCAATAACAATAATTGATTATATCTGTCATCTCCTTACAGCGACTCCAATACCTCCTCACTCCACAAAACAACCGTGACAAAAGAAGGGCAGAAGCTCTGAACATGATCAGTATAAACGGAGGCAATGTTGGGGAGCCTGTTTGAATCTTGCCGCCATCCTTGTCTCAGCGTGGACCGGAAGTCAAGTGACGACAACAGTCCCGGAGTGAATGAAAAGAAAGAAATTGACTAGTTAAAACTGTCTCAGACCTAGCTGATATTACTGTTGGGTATATAGTTTCAGTTGTCTATATTCTGCAGATGCCTGTGCAGAAATGTCTGATAACGTGCACTCCTAGTTATGCAAGTCAACATTGGTTGTTTTGTTTTTTTCCACGTCCGCCCCTAATATGTTGTCTGTTAAGTGCCTTAGTCCCAGCAATAGCTATTCACAAGAAAGTAGAGTCCTATAGCGCCTTTTGTGATATTTTAGCAACAGACATATGAAAATCGGAGATGAATTTATTCATTTTGGATATTTTCTATTGTGCCACTGATCATGTCAATTTTGATGATGTTTTGGTTTGGTTTGGTTTGTTGTTTTACGCCGCCCTCAGCAATATTCCAGCTATATGACGGCGGTCTGTAAATAATCGAGTCTGGACCAGACAATCCAGTGATTTACATCATGAACATCAATCCACGCAATTGGGACCGATGACATGCATGAACCAAGTCAGCGAGCCTGACCACCCGATTCCGTTAGTCGCCTTTTACGACAAGCATAGTCGCCTTTTACGGCAAGCATGGGTTGCTGAAGACCTCTTCTACCCCGGATCTTCACGGGTCTTTGATGATGTCACAGACGTGGTCATATTCAAGGGTCATTCTGACTTTTGAGGGAACCATTAAAGAGGGTATTCCGGTGCGAATATCACACAACCAACAGGAAGCATCATAGACGAATGTGCTGGAATTCAGATATAGAATATATACTTATACTACTCATCATTTGCTAAGGACCAAAACAATCATCTTTAGTCAAAGGTGTGGTCCTTAGCGAATATTGAGTTGTGTATTCAATGCATACGCTTCATCTATTTGAGTATTCCATCAGCCGAATTCCTTCAGACAGTTCAGAAATAGTTTTCGTTTAACAGTTCAATAATCACCCAACCAAGACACATCAAAGCTTGTTTTTTGATATCATTCAAATGTTACAAACATTGCACCATGTTGTTATAACCCTTATTTTATACGACGTTAGGGATGAATAGTTATCGTGAAAAAAACATCGTTTTTCTACTATTCACATGTGAATAGACATCGTGCATGATGAAGACACGCTTGTGATTAATACGCTTGGCGGTGAGGACAGTGGTTATATACAGTGAAACCCCGTTAATCCGGAACTAGTCTATCTGGAACCGTTCCGCACTCTTCGAACGCAAGCACACACACACACACACACACACACAATTATTCGTTAATCGAGAAACCTTGTTAATCCGGATTATTTCTCTGGACACACACCGTCTGGATTACGGAGTTTCACTGAATGTTAAATCGCACAAGTTAATTTGTTGATTTTCATACCCTTGTTGCTTCACGCTATAAATCTGACCGCAATGTTTTGTATATTCCATTGTCCTAGATGATTCTACCAAGTACCGGCCATTCGGCCTGGATTCAGTGGTGTCAAAAGCAATACGAACCTTCCTTGAAAGGTGATCACTACATATTATATACTGAGTAACTACAGTTTACGTGTCACTGTATTCAATCATGTTAACATGGAACAGTTATCAGGTACTGGGTCTTATGGCACTGTTTGTACTTTAAGTGTTGTTTTTTAATGGGAATGGTATTAAACTCCTGTCATAGGCTACATGTAATTTGCACCTTCGGAAGAGGTGCTAGAGTCATGCTCGGGTGCATATTTCGATTTTAGGCGTTGCGTTGTTTCTGTTTCGCATCATGCTTTTTTGCACTAGAGGATCAGAAGGCGTTGAGTTGAAATGGCGTCTACCAGTCTTTGGAGTATAGTATAATCCTTGGGGAATACAACCCGAGTGGTAAATCAAACATTGGCAACATCTGGGCGTATTTCATTCATGGGTAAAATTATGTCTTATAAGGCATGGAATCCAAATGTTCTTCTATATCAACTTAAGGTCAAGGTCAACGTCAATGTTTCCAACAATTCCGTTATTTCTTCCAGACTTATAAAAATACACCCAGATTACCAGAGACATTGTCTTAAAAAAGACAGCTTCAGTAATTTTAGTTTTGGTCGTAAAAGATATATTTTCTAACAGTGAAAGATTGATCATTGAAACGTAATTGTGACAAAATACTACTTCCCTAAAACAACTGAGTCTCGTGAATCATGAGGTCGCCTTGAGGTTATTAATATAATCGTGGTATGTGAAAATATATTTGATGAAAATATTACAAATTAAGAATTAATCGTTAGGTGGTTTGCTATGTTAATCAGGTTGTACTTTTATATCATTTGTTAATAACATGTTTGTTGTTACGTTATAGACTGGTTATTAATACAATATATACCGTGTTACATAAACGTAAATATATATACAGTTAGTTATTGTCTACATATAGACAGGTGTGTTTAGATGTTAAGTGTTGTACATTTCGTTTAAAGACATTTCGTGAATTAGCAGTAGATTTTTTACATTCAGACAGTTTTTTTTAAAAGATTGTAATATCAATTTTGTGATTAGTCGTTAGAATGATGCGAGTTATATGCATTTCACTGTATATACTCCATAGGTGAGTACGTGTGAGTGTCGTTGATATAGAGGTGAAATAAACATATAGAGTACACTCGCATTCTATTGGTTTTTTTCGCGTTTGGTAGGGGTGTTGATGATGTTGGAGATTTAACGAGCGCTTCCGGCGGACCCGATTTCGCTCCTGTTCGGGGGAATTTCGAGTCATTTGTACCGTTGTTAGTGCTTGGATGCTTGAAGGTCAAGGTCGTTATCCAGTCACCACACAGGAAGGCCAAGGCCATGTTTCAGCTACCACATGGAAGGTCATGGGTAATCCTCACTCACCGCCCAATAAGTTCAAGGTAACTTTTCAATGACCAACTGGGAAGGTAAACGCTAAATTTCAGTGTCCCCAAAAGAAAGTCATGGCCATGCTTCAGTGACAAACACTGTGCTTGGTGTTTGAACTCAGATTATATTGTTGTAATGTTCATGTGATAATGATAAGTTATGCGATATCACAACCGAACAACAAGGGCATCTGCATAGCATTTGTTTGTCATATCAAACCAGCATGTCTACAATGACATTCAGATTGACGTTTAAATCTCACCCCCACCCCCTCCCCCATCCCAGTTTTGAACAGCGGAGTTTGTAGTGAGTCAGTGAATTCGGTTGGTTGGTTGGTTTGCTGTTTAACGCCGCACTCAGCAATATTCCAGCTATATGACGGCGGTCTGTAAATAATCGAGTCTGGACCAGACAATCCAGTGATTGACATCATGCGCATCGATCTACGCAATTGGGATCAATGACATGCATCAACCAAGTCGGCGAGCCTGACCACCCGATCCCGTTAGTCGCCTTTTACGACAAGCATAGTCACCTTTTACGGCAAGCATTGGTTGGAGTGAATTCGGCTTAAGTTGTCTTCTTGATATATATTACATATGATATAATATTAATACATGATATATACTACACGAGAGCGCGTTCAGCTAATAATCTCTGTTTCAACACGTTGTTGGGGCCAGTGAAGCGATTTTTTTCAGTGAAATACTAAACAAGTACAGATAAAGTGTATAACTAATAAATGCTTACTACAGAATCAGACTACATGAAACGGGGGATCGATTATCTATCGATGTGATACGTAGTTCATCGAACTCCAAATGGACATTCGAAACGCTCTGTTTGCATGGTCGCCGTTTCCCTGCGATTAGAACTGTCGTCCAATTAATTGTGTCGTTTGACGTGTGAAATCTGGTATGATCAACATTGCATGCAGTTTATAAGATCAATCACTATATTAATGACGTGATTGGAATTGGAAGTTTATCAAAGGAAACCCTAATACTAACATGAGAAGGTACTGATCTGCATTATTCTACGACGTGGATACATATAGCAAGTGTGGGAAATAGGCTAAAAAGAAAAAGTGTCTCGGCCATCGGCGCGTCACTTTAAATCATGCACGTCCTTTTCATTGCCAATATGAAATTATTATTTTTTCAAATTTTACCACGGCATTTGTTTTCTGTTCTTGACAACTGACATTGTGTTAAAGAACCGTGTGTGATCAGATGTTTGTTGGTATTATCGACGGGAAATATTGGAAGCGAAGAAAAACACGTTGTTCAAGTAACAAAAATGGCGCTTTGCGAAACGAAGAGTCTCGATTGACGAGTTAAATGGGAAATTAACAGTTAATAACGAAACATTTAAAAGAGAATAACAAAGGGTAAGAAGCGATATTAACTCCATAATTGACCATCTGTCATTATTTTGCCTTGTCAGTGTGGAATTAACGCAGAAAAGGAAGTCAACAGTTTGTGTACGGGACAGCCACTTACGATAAAGGGAGACAATTTGCGGGGAGAGGTGTTATGTTCACTGCAGTGATATATCAAGTGATATCTTCACTGCACTGAAAATATCACTTTTCTCAACTTCAGTCTTTCACACTGAACTATGTAATAAATACGACCGCTGGTGGTGATCGACGTGTGGGAACTAATGAAATATGGCCGTTTATACCCGACGGAAGTCAAATGAGCCAAACTCGCTGCATGGACTTTGTGCGAACCCTGCCGTTGGCTCACATTAAAGGAATGTGAGGAGCAAAGGCCGTAAGCCAAGTTGCACGGGAAATAGTGCCGACTTTAGCTGTACACCCATTGGTCTAAGCACTCGCTGGTTTCCCTTATGCTTGAACCATGCCGTGGCTTGATTCGTTGGCTTAAAATAGCGACAACACTGCAATGATGCCATATGCATTCACAGTTGATGAGATGAGGTGAGGTGAGGTGAGGTGAGGTGAGGTGAGGTGAAATGGGGTTTAACATCGCGTTCAGTATTATAGAACTTGAAACAGAGCAGCCAAAGAAATTCCATCACTTTCTAAACACCAAAAATGAAATGAAATCAATAAGAAGATAGAAATCTGATCAATACGAAAGAAACAGAAATTGTATCAATACCAAAACTAGATATGTGTACCCTACTCACACTCCCAAAGAGGAACGGATCAGACGAACTTGCTAAGTAAGAAGGCCACCTCTTAAACACTTAAAGCCACAACAGCATGGCACTTTCATAGCAAGAGTAGCTGACTTGTTCATCTCTTAAGCTAGCCCAATGAGATGCAATGCCACAGTTTAACATGAATACCTCACTTAGACACAATATACTTACTCCGAGCCGACCAGTTCTTGTTTTAGCCCCTTCATGTCGAACGCCAGGCGGGGTAACAACAAATACCATCGTTTAACGCCTTTTGGTATGGCGCGGCCTGAGGATCGAACAACCGACGTTTGGCTCTCCCGGAAGACGCCCTACCCACTAGACCACGGAGGCGGTCCTCACGGGTGATGCCGCGACGTGGTGTCACCCACCAATGACGTATTGACGATTGGTAAAACCAGGGATACTATAGTGGTCTCATATATACTCCCTGGTGCCGACTTTAGCTGTACACCCATTGGTCTAAGCACTCGCTGGTTTCCCTTATGCTTGAACCATGCCGTGGCTTGATTCGTTGGCTTAAAATAGCGACAACACTGCAATGATGCCATATGCATTCACAGTTGATGAGATGAGGTGAGGTGAGGTGAGGTGAGGTGAGGTGAGGTGAGGTGAAATGGGGTTTAACATCGCGTTCAGTATTATAGAACTTGAAACAGAGCATTTCATTCCAAAGTAAACTTACCCACAACAGTAAAACCTCTTTACTTCGGAACCTGTTAATCCGCACAACTCCTCTCTACTCTCACGTAAGACGAAGCACAAAATTTCATAAAATATCCCCCAAGGTGATCATGGTCCCTGACATTGTTTGTTCAGTTTAGTTATTATTCCATGATTTCGTTTATACAAAACAACACAAATTTGGACTATGTGGTATTTAACTTCTCATCTCAGATCAGGTTATGTAATCAGTGATTACAAATCTATAGCATTGTCATGTTACATGTAACTTCACTTCACTACTCCTGTAACATATCGGTGATCAGTTTCATTCAACTTGATTGCTTTCTGTCTCAATTCCTGTGCCTCCGGGGTTTCTCTCATTAATGGACCAACAACAGAGCCGATACTCTTTATAGTCCGGGTCTATTGCACATCACTGCACTGTAAGGGGCCAATCGTTTATCGTTTAATATCTGTGTGCATGTGTTTTGGAATAGAGGGTTTGAAGTAAGTGGCTTGCCTTCACCTTTCCATTCATTTGGCACCAGATCTTGGCGAGTTCTCTCTCTCTCTCTCACTCCCCCCGTCCGTCCGTCCGTTTCTTTCTATCTCTTTCCATCTAGCGTTGGGATTTTATATCTGTGTGTGTGTCGTTAGAGGCGACTAACGGGATCGGGTGGTCAGGCTCGCTGACTTGGTTTTTGCATGGCATCGATTCCCAAGATTCACTAGATTGTGAGGTCCAGACTCGATTATTTACAGACCGCCGTCATATAGCTTGAGTATTGCCGAATGCGGCGTTAAACAACAAGCAAACAAAACACCTCTCCTTTGTGTCTCTGCCTGTCAATCAGCTATCGCATGCGTGTCTGTCTGTCTGCTGTAGTCTCCATGATTGTCCGTCTGCCTTTCAATAAACAATCTGTCTGTTCTGCAAGTGTGTCTGTCAATCTGCTTGTGTGTGAGTGTGCATGTCTGCTGGTCTCCACTGCTAGTCTCTCTCTCTCTCTCTCTCTCTCTCTCTCTCTCTCTCTCTATCTCTCTCTCTCTCATTGTATTTATCATTAAACATAACAAACATAGTTCCATTACATCATTTTATTATAAATCACAGAGATGATAACACGTTTTGTGTATGATTAGCAAATGGCTTCATGATTAAGTAGGGCTCGCTGATACATGTATGCATATACAACACACGGGAGTCGGTCACCCACGCCAAGTAATGACGCAAAGTGCATTGTTAAGTACGTTTGCTACAAAGAGTGATGATATAGTGAACTGACAGGGAAATACCCGCCTTTAAAGGGGGACTCTCATCCATCGTCCAAACTAGGTTTCGTTGTAATTAGTGCGATGTGTGAATGCGCAAGTTTCTCTGTGTTTTTGGTGCAATCATTACTGCTGTTGAAATGCATTATTAACTTGAGTTAGCAGTATGTTATCAATTACATGAGTCAAACTTGATCGATTGACTTGACCTAGTTGGTCGGAGTCCAATCACACTTGAAAGACAACCTACATACAGATTCATGAATGGCGTAAAGATTATCTAAGAACCAGCAAAATTTATCTGTCTTAGTTCAATATAAATGCAGAGAACAATGTCTAAATTATTTGAGCCAGCAGTGTCTGAACCTACATCCAGCAGGGTCTGAACCTAGAGACAGTCCTGTCTGAGCCTACATCCAGCAGTGTCTGAACCTACGTCCAGCAGTGTCTGAACCTAGACCCAGTAATATCTGAACCTACATCTAACAATATCTGAACCTACATCCAGCAGTGTCTGAACCTAGAGACAGTCCTGTCTGAACCTAGACCCAGCAATATCTGAACCTAGAGCCAGCAGTGTCTGAACCTAGAGTCAGCAATATCTGAACCTAGACCTAGCAATATCTGAATCAAAAGCCAGCAGCGTTTTAACCTAGACCCAGCAGTGCCTAGAGTCAGCAGTGCCTGAACAACAGCCAACAATGTATAACCCTAGACCCAGCAATATCTGAACCTAAAGCCGGCAGTGTCTGAACCGGTGGACAGCTCTGTCCAAGCCGATCTGGTTGCCCCTGAGCTTCGTGGAGCAGGGACGGGGGGCCTGATTCTCATGGTTGTGGATGTCCTTCTCTACGACTGAAACACAACACGATCCACGGTTAAACACACGTAATCATGGTTACACTCAGTCGCACACAACACGATCCAAGGTTAAACACACGTAGTCATGGTTACACTCAGTCGCACACAACACGCACCAACGTTACAGAACAGTAGTCATGGTTACACTCAGTCGCACACAACACGATCCACGGTTAAACACACGTAGTCATGGTTACACTCAGTCGCACACAACACGATCCAAGGTTAAACACACGTAGTCATGGTTACACTCAGTCGCACACAACACGCACCAACGTTACACAACAGTAGTCATGGTTACACTCAGTCGCACATAACACGATCCAAGGTTAAACACACGTAGTCATGGGTTACACTCAGTCACACACAACACGCACCAACGTTACACAACAGTAGTCATGGTTACACTCAGGCACACAACATGCACACAAAGGTGACACACCAGTTGTCATGGGTTACACCCAGGAACACACAACACGCACTAAGGTTACACACCAGTAGGCATTGGTTACAGTCAGTAACACACAACACGCATCAAGGTTACACACCAGTAGTCATGGGTAACACCCAGGAACACACAACACGCACCAAGGTTACTCATCAGTAGTCATGGGTTACACTCAGGAACACACAACACGCACCAATGTTACACACCAGTAGTCATGGGTTACACTCAGGAACACACAACACGCAACAAGATTACACACCAGTAGTCATGGGTTACACTCAGTAACACACAACACGCACCAAGGTTAAACACCAGTTGTCATGGGTTACACTTAGGAACACACAACTCACACCAAGGTTAAACACCAGTAGGCATTGGTTACACTTAGGAACACACAACACACACAAAGGTTACACACAGTAGTCATGGGTTACACTTAGGAACACACAACACGCACCAAGGTTACACACCAGTAGTCCTGGGTAACACTCAGGAACACACAACACGCACCAAGGTTACACACCAGTAGTCATGGGTTACACTTAGGAACACACAACACACACAAAGGTTACACACCAGTAGTCATGGGTTACACTCAGGAATACACAACACGCACCAAGGTTACACACCAGTAGTCATGGGTTACACTCAGGAACACACAACACACAAAGGTTACACACCAGTAGGCATTGGTTACAATATGGAACACACAACACACACAAAGGTTACACACAGTAGTAATGGGTTACACTCAGTAACACACAACACGCACCAAGGTTACACACCAGTAGTCATGGGTTACACTCAGGAATACACAACACGCACCAAGGTTACACACCAGTAGTCATTGGTAACACCCAGGAACACACAACACGCACAAAGGTTACACACCAGTAGGCATAAGTTACACTCAGTAACACACAACACGCACCAAGGTTAAACACCAGTAGTCATGGGTTACACTCAGGAACACACAACACGCACCAAGGTTAAACACCAGTAGTCATGGGTTACACTCAGGAATACACAACACGCACCAAGGTTACACACCAGTAGTCATGGGTTACACTCAGGAACACACAACACACACAAAGGTTACACACCAGTAGGCATTGGTTACAATATGGAACACACAACACACACAAAGGTTACACACAGTAGTCATGGGTTACACTCAGTAACACACAACACGCACCAAGGTTACACACCAGTAGTCATGGGTTACACTCAGGAATACACAACACGCACCAAGGTTACACACCAGTAGTCATTGGTAACACCCAGGAACACACAACACACACAAAGGTTACACACCAGTAGGCATAAGTTACACTCAGTAACACACAACACGCACAAAGGTTACACACCAGTAGGCATAAGTTACACTCAGGAATACACAACACGCACCAAGGTTACACACCAGTAGGCATAAGTTACACTCAGTAACACACAACACGCACCAAGGTTACACACAGTAGTCATGGGTTACACTCAGTAACACACAACACGCACCAAGGTTAAACACCAGTTGTCATGGGTTACACTTAGGAACACACAACACACACCAAGGTTAAACACCAGTAGGCATTGGTTACACTTAGGAACACACAACACACACAAAGGTTACACACAGTAGTCATGGGTTACACTTAGGAACACACAACACGCACCAAGGTTACACACCAGTAGTCCTGGGTAACACTCAGGAACACACAACACGCACCAAGGTTACACACCAGTAGTCATGGGTTACACTCAGGAACACACAACACACACAAAGGTTACACACCAGTAGTCATGGGTTACACTCAGGAATACACAACACGCACCAAGGTTACACACCAGTAGTCATGGGTTACACTCAGGAACACACAACACACAAAGGTTACACACCAGTAGGCATTGGTTACAATATGGAACACACAACACACACAAAGGTTACACACAGTAGTAATGGGTTACACTCAGTAACACACAACACGCACCAAGGTTACACACCAGTAGTCATGGGTTACACTCAGGAATACACAACACGCACCAAGGTTACACACCAGTAGTCATTGGTAACACTCAGGAACACACAACACGCACAAAGGTTACACACCAGTAGGCATAAGTTACACTCAGTAACACACAACACGCACCAAGGTTAAACACCAGTAGTCATGGGTTACACTCAGGAACACACAACACGCACCAAGGTTAAACACCAGTAGTCATGGGTTACACTCAGGAATACACAACACGCACCAAGGTTACACACCAGTAGTCATGGGTTACACTCAGGAACACACAACACACACAAAGGTTACACACCAGTAGGCATTGGTTACAATATGGAACACACAACACACACAAAGGTTACACACAGTAGTCATGGGTTACACTCAGTAACACACAACACGCACCAAGGTTACACACCAGTAGTCATGGGTTTCACTCAGGAATACACAACACGCACCAAGGTTACACACCAGTAGTCATTGGTAACACCCAGGAACACACAACACACACAAAGGTTACACACCAGTAGGCATAAGTTACACTCAGTAACACACAACACGCACAAAGGTTACACACCAGTAGGCATAAGTTACACTCAGGAATACACAACACGCACCAAGGTTACACACCAGTAGGCATAAGTTACACTCAGTAACACACAACACGCACCAAGGTTACACACCAGTAGGCATAAGTTACACTCAGTAACACACAACACGCACAAAGGTTAAACACCAGTAGTCATGGGTTACACTCAGGAATACACAACACGCACAAAGGTTACACACCAGTAGGCATAAGTTACACTCAGTAACACACAACACGCACCAAGGTTACACACCAGTAGTCCTGGGTTACACTCAGTAACACACAACACGCACCAAGGTTACACACCAGTAGTCATGGGTTACACTCAGGAACACACAACACACACAAAGGTTACACACCAGTAGGCATTGGTTACAATATGGAGCACACAACACACACAAAGGTTACACACAGTAGTCATGGGTTACACTCAGGAATACACAACACGCACCAAGGTTACACACCAGTAGTCATTGGTAACACCCAGGAACACACAACACACACAAAGGTTACACACCAGTAGGCATAAGTTACACTCAGTAACACACAACACGCACCAAGGTTACACACCAGTAGGCATAAGTTACACTCAGGAACACACAACACGCACAAAGGTTAAACACCAGTAGGCATAAGTTACACTCAGTAACACACAACACGCACAAAGGTTACACACCAGTAGGCATAAGTTACACTCAGTAACACACAACACGCACCAAGGTTAAACACCAGTAGTCATGGGTTACACTCAGGAATACACAACACGCACCAAGGTTACACACCAGTAGTCACGGGTTACACTCAGGAACACACAACACGCACCAAGGTTACACACCAGTAGGCATAAGTTACACTCAGTAACAAACAACACGCACCAAGGTTAAACACCAGTAGTCATGGGTTACACTCAGGAATACACAACACGCACCAAGGTTACACACCAGTAGGCATTGGCTACACTCAGGAACAGACAACACGCACCAAAGTTACACACCAGTAGTCATTGGTAATACCCAGGAACACACAACACACACAAAGGTTACACACCAGTGGGCATAAGTTACACTCAGTAACACACAACACGCACCAAGGTTACACACCAGTAGTCATGGGTTACACTCAGTAACACACAACACGCACCAAGGTTACACACCAGTAGTCATGGGTTACACTCAGGAACACACAACACACACAAAGGTTACACACCAGTAGGCATTGGTTACAATATGGAACACACAACACACACAAAGGTTACACACAGTAGTCATGGGTTACACTCAGGAACAGACAACACGCACCAAGGTTACACATCAGTAGTCATGGGTTACACTCAGGAACACACAACACACACAAAGGTTATACACCAGTAGGCATTGGTTACAATATGGAACACACAACACACACAAAGGTTACACACAGTAGTCATGGGTTACACTCAGGAATACACAACACGCACCAAGGTTACACACCAGTAGTCATGGGTTACACTCAGGAACACACAACACACACAAAGGTTACACACCAGTAGGCATTGGTTACAATATGGAACACACAACACACACAAAGGTTACACACGAGTAGGCATAAGTTACACTCAGTAACACACAACATGCACCAAGGTTAAACACCAGTAGTCATGGGTTACACTCAGGAATACACAACACGCACCAAGGTTACACACCAGTAGGCATTGGCTACACTCAGGAATACACAACACGCACAAAGGTTACACACCAGTAGTCATGGGTTACACTCAGGAACAGACAACACGCACCAAGGTTACACACCAGTAGTCATTGGTAACACCCAGGAACACACAACACGCACAAAGGTTACACACGAGTAGGCATTGGTTACACTAAGGAACACACAACACGTACAACGGTTTCACACCAGTAGTCATGGGTTACAATATGGAACACACAACACACACAAAGGTTACACACAGTAGTCATGGGTTACACTCAGGAACACACAACACGCACCAAGGTTACACACCAGTAGTCATGGGTTACACTCAGGAACACACAACACACACAAAGGTTATACACCAGTAGGCATTGGTTACAATATGGAACACACAACACACACAAAGGTTACACACAGTAGTCATGGGTTACACTCAGGAATACACAACACGCACCAAGGTTACACACCAGTAGTCATGGGTTACACTCAGGAACACACAACACACACAAAGGTTACACACCAGTAGGCATTGGTTACAATATGGAACACACAACACACACAAAGGTTACACACGAGTAGGCATAAGTTACACTCAGTAACACACAACACGCACCAAGGTTAAACACCAGTAGTCATGGGTTACACTCAGGAATACACAACACGCACCAAGGTTACACACCAGTAGGCATTGGCTACACTCAGGAATACACAACACGCACAAAGGTTACACACCAGTAGTCATGGGTTACACTCAGGAACAGACAACACGCACCAAGGTTACACACCAGTAGTCATTGGTAACACCCAGAAACACACAACACGCACAAAGGTTACACACGAGTAGGCATTGGTTACACTAAGGAACACACAACACGTACAACGGTTTCACACCAGTAGTCATGGGTTACACTCAGTAACACACAATACGCACAACGGTTACACACCAGTAGTCATGGGTTACACTCAGTAACACACAACACGCACAAAGGTTACACACCAGTAGGCATAAGTTACACTTAGGAACACACAACACGCACCAAGTTTACACACCAGTAGTCATGGGTTTCACTCAGGAACACACAACACGCACCAAGGTTACACACAGTAGTCATGGGTTACACCCAGGAACACACAACACGCACTAAGGTTACACACCAGTAGTCATGGGTTATACTCAGTAACACACAACACGCCTAATGGTTACACACCAGTAGTCATGGGTTACACTCAGGAACACACAACACACACAAAGGTTACACACCAGTAGTCACGGTTACACTCAGGAACACACACAGCATGCACAAAGGTTACACACCAGTTGTCATAGGCCAAGTTGATGCAGGTCTTAGACCATTATCACTTTTGTGAAACCCACGAGCATGGGTGCTAAAAACTCTAGAAAGGTAATCAGGGCGAACTGGGATTCGAACCCACGATCATAGGTTTCTGTGGTGCCCAAGGGACACAACCCTACACAGCGAATTGTGGCGCTTCAGAAGACTGGGTCAACCGTGCGCATTGACTGGCGATTGAAGGTTTGAATAAAAATAAGAGAGTGAGCTTTTGACTGAAATTGCAAGTGAAGTTTAGACGAGTATGTGGGAACAGTAGCTGAGATACTGGAGTTTGTTAGCCTGTCATACAGACCCTGAAACAAATACACCCATTACACCCCAAGCAAGTCTATAAAGTCTAGATTACTGCAGTTTTGGAAAATGAAGTCTCTTGATTTTTATTGTACTTTATTAAGAAAATTTAACTGGGTTTTTTTCTGCAAAAAGCATTTCAGAGACCAAATGCTAGCTTCGGCGTTTGTCTGAGTGAGTGCTTAAAACAATTGATGAAGGAACCCAATTTAAACTCGACAAGTAGTAATAATTTGAGGCTATTGACTATAAGAAACTAATTTCAATATTCCCGCACAGCAGAAGGTTTGAGGAAACAAAGAAGAACGCCATCAATAAATACAGACACAAGTTTCAATAGAATAGAATTCTAGAGTTAATAGAGTTTCAGATGGCAATGTGTTTGCAAAGGTCGTACGATGGTGCTAAAACAGCCATCTGGTATAGACAATAATCGAAGGTTGCATATGTTTTTTCAACATAAATAATGCACATAAAACAACAAAACCTAAAATTCACGTGTCTGTTTGTAATTGTCTAGTAATCAATGAGAACTTTAAATAAGGTCGACAATCTGTCCGAAACATGAACAGATTGAGGTGACTTGGTCATAATGTTCTTCTACAGCTTGAAACAGCGGACAGAAACAAGGTAACATTTTTCAGTTGCCTTTCAGATTGACTGGCATTCCATGATTGTCTCGAGCTTCAAAGCATTCAACTTCTTTATCGCTTAAAGCATTTGTCGTTTTAAATGCGTTCATGGACTTTGTACATAAACTTGTTTTATGGAAGGCTTGACAAAATCAATATCACCGCCGGCATATAGTTGGAGTGCGGGATTAAACAACAAACAAACAAAAAATCATTTTTTTGTTTCTCGTCACCCACCCGCCGCTATATTTGTTGCTAATTTTATTCTTTTATTACGTTTTTAAGAAACTAAAATTTCGGAGATTTTTTGAAGACGCGAGCCAAAGGGGGCGTGGTCAAAAGAGGTCACGTGGTTAATTAAAATGACGTTTACAAAAGATTGTTTACCTATCAAAAGTTAAATCGTCGCTCAACGGTCAGTTTTGAAATACGTCATGAAAAATATTTGTTTATTACCAAGTCTAATAATGTATGGTGGCCATGGGGGAACGTCGCTTTACGGTCTTCAATTACGGCCGCGATATTGTTGAGCGATATGCTATCCGTTCTTGTCACGTGTTATGGCCATCCGGCGGTTATAATTGAAGTCGATAAAGCGATGTCCCCTCTGGGCCACCTTACTTATGTACTTACTCCACTTGTCGCCGACAGCCATGGGACATTCAGCTTTGTTCATCTTCACGTCGTCCTCTCCGTTGGGCTTGACGGCGAACCACAATAACGCCGACCCCTGGGGTGAATCAACGAGTGAGTGAGTGATTGAGTGAGTCGGTGGGCGGATGGGTTGTGTTTAACGCCGCTTTAAACAGTATTTCAGTTCTATCACGGCGTGTCAGCTTGGCATTGAAGGAAAGCCTAAACTGATTCAACACTGAGACGTTTACCACTTTGCTGAAACCAACCAGCGCCCATGATGACAAACCTAAGTCGTAATCACGGTGATTCTAGAATTCGAACCCACGGTCATAAGATTCTGGCACGTCAAAGCGAGGCAACTCTGTGCAGCGAACTGTATCATCCCAAGGCAAGTGAGTTATCTGACTATAAAAGACCAGTTTCAACCCTTGCCGAACTACACTGGAATTTCGTGGTTCGATCGTAGCGCCACCAGTTGCTTTTACGAGTTATGTCCCTTCTATGTCCCTCCTGTTGACCAATCAGATTCCACCTCACATATCACATGCTTCTGCGGCGCCCAGTCAAAATCTATTTCGTAATAAAATGGGTCTTATCACTTGAGCACCTTGATAAAAAACATGAAAGATTTGGAAAATATCTGTAAACGCCCAATTGACGGAACATAAGTTTTGCAAATCCTGCAGTCGACCGAAATCTGCACGTTGGAATCCATGTTGTTTACGAACCGAATGTCTAGTTCGTTACGCGGTGTTGATTGCATGGACTATGAATAGACTCGTGAGTCTAGAAGCTATCAATACAAGCAGGAGTACCAGGATGACAGGTATGCAGATGAGGCCATGTTCGCGTGTTCGCATTCTGTTCACGAGATTTGAAAATCAAGATGACGTAATGGTATACTAGTATTTACCTTCTTGGGCTGGTATCTGAGTCCGATGTCCAGGAAGACCGTGGCTCCACCGCTCTCCACATCCGTCAGCTACAACCACGCACACAACATTACAACTACATCACACAGTTACAAGGGTTACAATTTGTTGACGTTAACACTATAACATATAGACTACGTCAAGTCAATTTGACAAATAAACCCCTGCAGATCAGGAGGAAAAAAGGTCTTCAACAACCCATGCTTGTGGTTATGTTTTGTTTGTTTGTTTGTTTCTTAACGTCGCACTCAGCAATATTTCAGCTATATGACGGCGGTCTGTAAATATTCGGGTCCTGACCAGACAATCCAGTGATTGATATCATGAGCATCGATCCACTCAATTTGTATACGATGACAAGGATCAACCAAGTCAGCGAGCCTGACCACCCAATCGCGTTAGTCGCCTCTTACCACAAGCATAGTCGCATTTTCCGGCAAGCATGGGTTGCTGAAGACCTATTCTACCCCGGATCCCATGCTTGTGGTAAGAGGCGACTAACGGGATTGGGTGGTCAGGCTCACTGACTTGGTTGATGCCTGTCATCGATCCCAATTGCGTGGATCGATGTTTATGATGTCAGTCACTGGATTGTCTGGTCTAGACTGAATTAGTTACAGACCGTCGTCATATAGCTGGAATATTGCTGAGTGCAGCGTAAAACAAAGAAAGAAAGGACAAATTGGCAAATAGAAAATAAGAAAACGTCTTATGCCCCGTCATCATAAAAGCGTCATAAAATCTCCATCTTTACCTTCTCTGAGGGATGAGGGGGAGTTTCTGTGAGTTGTCCAGATAAGGGGACTGTGAGTGGATGGGTCGGTGGGTGAGCGAGTGGTGTTTTATGCCGCTTTAACAAATATTCCAGCAACTGGGGTTTAACGTCGCGTCCAAGATTATTGCACTTATATAGCGACGTTCATGTACCTATGTGTGTTTGTGTGGCTGCTTGTACTAGTCCGGACTGATACCGATTTATAGTGCTAGCCCACTGAGATACCATGCCGCAGTTTAACAATACCCCACTCAGACACAGTATACTGACTCCGAGCCGACCAGTCCTTGTTTTAGCCCTTTAATGCCGAGCGTCAGACAGGGTAACAACAAGTACCATCTTTTAACATATTTTGGTATGACGCGGCCGGGGATCGAACCCCGGACCTTCCGCTCCCCGGGCGGACGCTCTACCACTAGACCACGGAGGCGGTCAGCAACAGCATGAAGATGATAGAGGCATAAATGGTGTCAATTAAGAAAGATACTCACGTAAAATGTAACGAATCCAATTTTATTTCCAGATCGGAGCATTCTATGGTCATACTGTAAAGGAAAAAGAATCAAATATTTGAGTAAAATGGAAAATATATCACCTATTCCTCTCGGAGAAATACTAGCAAGATGTGCTTCGGTATGACACGGCCGGGGATCGAACCACCGACCTTCCGCTCTCCGGACAGACGCTCTACCACGGGGCCACGGAGACGTTCACGACAAGCAAAGCAGGAGATGATTAAACTCAACTGGTCTGTTTTCAGACTAGGGCTGGGACGAGTCCACATTTACTACCCGGGTACCCACCCCGCTATTAACGATCCTACTCGGGTACCCGCTAGAGGTCTCAAGAGTTTGGTACAAAGTGTCCGATTGGAAATAGTTTGAGCGTAGCCCTGGTAAAATGTATTTAAATATATGTTTAAAACGATCTGATCATGCATACACTGAAGTTGACTGAAGTGTTATTTTTATTCAAACTTATAAAGGTCAGAAGCAATGGTGCTTAGTCAGAAAGATATGCGAACATCAGTGACTTGTAGTGTAACCATAGAGTTCTGGATATTTTTTATCATTAAACAATATATCACGTGACTAACAACGGGTCCGGGTAGTCCTGTGGGTACCCGGGTCCTTCTCAGTACCCACCCGACCCGAGTACCCGAGTTACCCTCCCAGCCCTATTTCAGACACTACAGTTATTGCTCCCAGTGTTTTATGCACCACGTGTGATCACCTACCATGGAGGTGTGGTTGTGCGGCTTCCCCATTCCACACGGGCCAAAGTTGAGAACCTGGAAGAGAGAACACAACATAGGCAAAAGAGAATCTGTCGAGCTCAGTGTGCCCTCGTCATTATTCGGGGGTTTCCGTGACCTTTACGGTTTGTTACGGCCGACACATTTACTTCCGAAACAGTGAGGATTAAGTCCGTGGGTTTAACACTGCTTTGAACAGTATTTCAATTATATCACGGCGTGTGACCTTGATGTGGAAGTGAGTGAGTTGGGTTTAACACTGCTTTGAACAGTATTTCAATTATATCACGGCGTGTGACCTTGATGTGGAAGTGAGTGAGTTGGGTTTAACGCTGCTTTGAACAGTATTTCAATTATATCACGGCGTGTGACCTTGATGTGGAAGTGAGTGAGTTGGGTTTAACGCTGCTTTGAACAGTATTTCAATTATATCACGGCGTGTGACCTTGATGTGGAAGTGAGTGAGTTGGGTTTAACACTGCTTTGAACAGTATTTCAATTATATCACGGCGTGTGACCTTGATGTGGAAGTGAGTGAGTTGGGTTTAACACTGCTTTGAACAGTATTTCAATTATATCACGGCGTGTGACCTTGATGTGGAAGTGAGTGAGTTGGGTTTAACACTGCTTTGAACAGTATTTCAATTATATCACGGCGTGTGACCTTGATGTGGAAGTGAGTGAGTTGGGTTTAACACTGCTTTGAACAGTATTTCAATTATATCACGGCGTGTGACCTTGATGTGGAAGTGAGTGAGTTGGGTTTAACGCTGCTTTGAACAGTATTTCAATTATATCACGGCGTGTGACCTTGATGTGGAAGTGAGTGAGTTGGGTTTAACACTGCTTTGAACAGTATTTCAATTATATCACGGCGTGTGACCTTGATGTGGAAGTGAGTGAGTTGGGTTTAACACTGCTTTGAACAGTATTTCAATTATATCACGGCGTGTGACCTTGATGTGGAAGTGAGTGAGTTGGGTTTAACACTGCTTTGAACAGTATTTCAATTATATCACGGCGTGTGACCTTGATGTGGAAGTGAGTGAGTTGGGTTTAACACTGCTTTGAACAGTATTTCAATTATATCACGGCGTGTGACCTTGATGTGGAAGTGAGTGAGTTGGGTTTAACGCTGCTTTGAACAGTATTTCAATTATATCACGGCGTGTGACCTTGATGTGGAAGTGAGTGAGTTGGGTTTAACACTGCTTTGAACAGTATCTCAATTATATAACGGCGTGTGACCTTGATGTGGAAGTGAGTGAGTTTGGTTTAACACTGCTTTGAACAGTATTTCAATTATATCACGGCGTGTGACCTTGATGTGGAAGTGAGTGAGTTGGGTTTAACACTGCTTTGAACAGTATTTCAATTATATCACGGCGTGTGACCTTGATGTGGAAGTGAGTGAGTTGGGTTTAACACTGCTTTGAACAGTATTTCAATTATATCACGGCGTGTGACCTTGATGTGGAAGTGAGTGAGTTGGGTTTAACACTGCTTTGAACAGTATCTCAATTATATCACGGCGTGTGACCTTGATGTGGAAGTGAGTGAGTTGGGTTTAACACTGCTTTGAACAGTATCTCAATTATATCACGGCGTGTGACCTTGATGTGGAAGTGAGTGAGTTGGGTTTAACGCTGCTTTGAACAGTATTTCAGTTAAATCAGGCATGTCACCTTGATGTGGAAGTGAGTGAGTGAGTTGGGTTTAATGCTGCTTTGAACAGTATATCAGTTAAATCGGGCATGTCACCGTGATGTGGAAGTGAGTGAGTGAGTTGGGTTTAACGCTGCTTTGAACAGTATATCAGTTAAATCAGGCATGTCACCTTGATGTGGAAGTGAGTGAGTGAGTTGGGTTTAACACTGCTTTGGACAGTATTTCAATTATATCACGGCGTGTGACCTTGATGTGGAAGTGAGTGAGTTGGGTTTAACGCTGCTTTGAACAGTATTTCAGTTATATCACGGCGTGTCACCGTGATGTGGAAGTGAGTGAGTGAGTTGGGTTTAACGCTGCTTTGAACAGTATTTCAGTTAAATCAGGCATGTCACCTTGATGTGGAAGTGAGTGAGTGAGTTGGGTTTAACGCTGCTTTGAACAGTATTTCAGTTAAATCAGGCATGTCACCTTGATGTGGAAGTGAGTGAGTGAGTTGGGTTTAACGCTGCCTTGAACAGTATTTCAGTTAAATCAGGCATGTCACCTTGATGTGGAAGTGAGTGAGTGAGTTGGGTTTAACGCTGCCTTGAACAGTATTTCAGTTAAATCAGGCATGTCACCTTGATGTGGAAGTGAGTGAGTGAGTTGGGTTTAACGCTGCTTTGAACAGTATATCAGTTAAATCAGGCATGTCAGAATGGGAGAAAACAGCGTGGGGTGATGCAGGTCTCAGACATTTACCCCTTTGGAGAAAACCCCGCGCTGACAAACGTAGAAACATAATTCGTGCGAACAGAGATTCGAACGCACGATCATAACATTCTGGCATCATAAGTTTCTAAGAGACACAACTCTACACAGAGAATTGTGGCGCCTTTGACGACTGGGCCACCCATGCCTTGATTAATATCTGAGAAAAGGGAACAGGTTTGCTGTTGGCCCATAATCACGTGTGTTATGATGAGGGGTTCAAAATAGGAACAAATCTGGAATTCTAACCCTCGACCAAATTTTGGGCCTACCCAAACCTTCCGTTTAAAATTCTAAATCGCGTGGTAGAAGTTTTTCCAATACCTTTCTTTTACTTACTTCCACCTGATTCCTTTGCCTTAAAATAGACGTTAAGTTGACTTGAGCATTTTTTTAATTAACTATGCATTCTGACACGATTTGTTTAAAAGCCTTAGCTTATATTTCAACATTCATTTTATCTATGTGGGCACGGGTGGCCCAGTCGTCTGAGGCGCCGCGATTCGCTGTGTAGAGTTGCGTCCCTTGGGCACGCCAGAAACCTATGATTGCGGGTTCGAATCCCGGTTCGCCCCGATTATGTTTCTAAGTTTGTAAGCACCATACCCGTGCTCGTGGGTTTCACCGAAGTGGTAAACGTCTGAGACCTGCATCACTTCGGGCTTTCCTCCCACATTAAGCTGACACGCCGCGATATGACTGGAATACTGTTAAAAGCGGCGTTAAACCCAACTCACTCACTCATTTTATCTATTGGTTTACGTTTTGGGCATTTAACATTCTCATAAAGTAGAGTTTAGCAGCTGTGATTTCAAAAAAGGCTATTTCTAAATATGTTTAATATTACCCATCTAATTAGCATGACCTTCAGTCCCTGTATAGTTTTAATTTCGGAATTCTAAATATACCCCTGACCTACGAGGATGATCCACACGTATGTGCAGATCAATTTACTCTAGTGAGTTAGTGAGTGAATATGCTTTATCTATTCACAGTGGCTACGGGCGAAATCTTTAGGCTCAGACCTGTTTCCAGCATGAACGACCACGGTAACGACTTTGCTATACCCCTCACTCACAGTTAGGGGTAGAGAGGTAGCCTAGTGGTTAAAGCGTTCGCTCGCCACGACAATTGCCCGAGTTTGATGCCCACATGGATACAATGTGTGGAACCTGTTTCTTGTTTCCCCTACTGTGACATGGCGGAAGTATTCCTAAAAGCAGCGTAAAATATATACTCACTCACTCACCCACTGGGCGTAGGGGATGAACAAAACTATTATGACAGCATGTAGTGACCATGCCCAGGTTGGAATCAACAGCTGACCACACCGCCTTACCCTGAGGGCACCGCCGCTGGACACCCTGCCTGGGGTATAAGAGGCATTGACCCCGCTGATGTCGCCGGCAATCTTCGTCAGCACTCGGGCCGACCCGTGGTTCTCAAGGATCTCGGTGCTGCAAAACCATAATAATTACAACATATATTCATTATAGAAGCAAAATCCGTAATTGCGAGTGAAGGGTTAGAATAATTGTTTTAGAAAGAAAATCTAAAACGTTTACCCTTCAGAAAAACTTTACTGACGTCAGCATATTGTTCAGATGACGTAATGTTATATAGTTTGTTTGTTTGTTTGTTTGTTTGTTTGTTGATTAACGCCGCACTCAGCAATATTCCAGCTATATGACGGCGGTCTGTAAAATAATCGAGTCTGGACCAGACAATCCAGTGATTGACATCATGAGCATCGATCAACGCAATTGGGATGGATGACATGCATCAACCAAGTCAGCGAGCCTGACCACCCGATCCCGTTAGTCGCTCCTTACAACAAGCATAGTCGCCTTTTACGGCAAGCATGGGTTGATGAAGACCTATTCTACCCCGGATCTTCATGGGTCTTCATGTTTGTCATGTCGTTTCCCCTGGACAACGAGCATACTAAAATGATCGGGAGGGTTTGCTGTAATCTGATTGGTTGAAAACTTTGTTAAAAAGAAATCGAACTCGGAATTCATGTGGCATTTTCACTGCTGTGGACAATTTTCTTGACAAGTACATATTGTTTCTTAACATCAAATTTGAAAAACGAAGCAATGGTAGGCCAAATTGATACTTCATGAATAATACATACAGTTCGTTTACCATTTATCTGGGGCCTGACACTGAAGAACTTACTTCCAATCCATCTTAGATGGTGACACTCAACTTCACCATCACCTTACGTAAGTCGTATCCCCCTTGCACAAACAAAACCGATGAAATATACGAACTAATATTAACTTTTAATATTATTGAATGTCGCAAATTTTTACCCCGCAAATATCAGGATCACAATCAAATGCCTAGAATAACCAAAACGTCATATGTGCAGACTGTGCAAATATCAGGAATCTGTGCACCAATATGTTATACCCCTGGGGTAATAATGTCGCTAAACAGTAAGTGTTTTCGGATTTGAATGCCGTCGGTCTCAGATGAAGTTTGGGGTGAGCATATACTCAGTAAAACCTGTAAATCTGAAAACTAATAATATTCATCTCTTATTTGAGAATCGCTAAAAAGCGTATGTGGGGGTATCGGAAAGTTATTACTATATATGGTTTTAGCAATAATCCATCAATACCGCGGCTGGGACAACACAAATGGGCTTCACACATTGTACCCGTGTCGGGAATCGAACCCGGGCTCGAGTGAGGAGCGAACGCTTCAACCACTAGGCTACCCGACCGCCCCAAATGAAATATAAAAAAAGTGAAGAAACAACGGTTGTAACAAACAACTGACAAAACGAACTTGATATACAGACATCTGTGCGCTTACTACCAATATTTTCTAAGTTTGTTTCCTTTTAAAACCTTTTCAGAGATTATAAAGAAATACTGCCATGAAAATATTTATAAGTTATATTTATATTTCTGCAAACAGTAACAGTCGATAACACAATGGAGATATAATTCTATCATGGCAATACAATGGCTATATATCCTGGATAATCGATAATGCTTTCAACATGTGTTTCGTCGTCACTATTTGGTACATGTTGTTGTGTAATGTAAAGAACAAATTGAAATTATGTACAGCTAGATGATGAACGTCGTTTAATAAGTCCGAGAATGTACCACGTCTGGCAATGCACGTTAATATCATAGCAGACTAGAAGCATAGTTCAGTAATTTTAAGCATCCCTTCGAGAGTTCGAGGGTGGTCGGGTAGCCTAGTGGTTAAGGCGTTCGCTCGTCACGCCGAAGACCCGGGTTCGATTCCCGACATGGGTCAAATGTGTGAAGCCCATTTCTGGTGTCCCCCGCCGTGATATTGCTGGAATATTGCTAAAAGCGGCGTAAAACTATACTCACTCACTCGAGATTTCGAAATAAGTTACATAAGCAGGTGATGACATCCGGCTAGCCTGGTCCAGCTCACCATCTTAGCTTCGTTTCGGAAGTGACGTCATGATCAACTTCTGCATCTTTCCTATTTCTAACCTAGCACAGACATTCTCTCGCTCGTGAATGTCATCTGATTGGATGGCTATTTTAGCGTCAAGCTATTCGAATCGGGCTAAAAGAAACTACAGTAGTGAATGAGTCCATTGTATTGATCAAGGAATGGAGTTATACAACCCTGGATAAACGAGGATTAAAGTATCTTGCTGGGTGTAAGGTTGTCTAGTTGTCGAGTGTTGGTTAAAAAAGCATCACTGTGATTGCAGGAAAACGAAATAATTTATTCTTACCCTTCAAGCTTGGTGTAATAATAATTAGTGGCTTTCGTCAGCTGCGAAACAAAACACAATCGATAAATATTGCTTCCAAGTGATAGGGCAAATGTAAAATCAGTACCAAAGTCATCTAAAACGAAATACGGTTTTAAGTAAAACACTACATGCAACCATGGTAACCCAAAAAAGAATTGTGACCTGCAATTATCCAATTATTTCTGTCGAAATAGAGGCTATGTTTCGACCAGTTTTCCGAAAATTGGTATCCATAGCAACACTTATGCTTCAATATCTTTATGTCTGCCTTTCCGCCACAAAAGACTTTGATATGTGATAGAGAGATTTTATTTATCATCCAACATCATCTTTGCAACGTTTTCAGTTTGTAGACAGTTATAAGCAGTGTTTGAAGTGTAAAAAGTACTGCTGACAGCTTCAGTAGCAGAGCCATTAGTGATGCCATTTGATTGTGACGTCACGGCAACAATGATGTCACAATGGTCTCCAAAGCATTGTGAAGCGATTTCATTGCAGCGATATCTACTATAAAGATAACGCTTTTTTTCAGGGCATTTATGATTTATCATTTGCAGAAGCCCGAGGTCTTACATTAACTGCCCGACGAAGGAGGTTTGTTGAAAAGACCGAGGGCTTCTGCAAATGATAATGCCCTGAAAAATAGTGTTACCGTTATTATAGATAAAATGGGTGGAATTTGTTATCAAATAAAAAGAAACAACAATATCGGTTTTGAAACATTTAATGCAATTATTTCGAATGTCACTGACCCAGTTTTACAAATATTGAAACGTCATAGAACAAACCAGATGACGTCACTATTGAACGTGACGTCACCTATCCCTATCCTAAGACGTCACCTAATAACGGGCGTGATAATGGCCCGTCGTCAGGCAATATGAGGGCATTATCAAGTTACAGTGACCCGCTCATTTCTGATAACATGCGGGCGGTTTAATGATAATTCCATCCATTTTAGCTATAAAATGTAGATATCGCTTGATCTCACCCAAGCGATATCTCCTGTGGAAGCAAGTTTTAGATGATAAAAGACTGTTAAAGCATACTTACATTTCGGGCGGTTTTCGTTTTGATATCATTGATGACGTCATCACTGATGACGTCATAAAACACTGAGACGTAGGGTGTCATGCTGAGTATCTCTTCCTGGTAGCGTTTGAATGGAACAGGTGAGCATCGGTAACGGCACCGGTGGAACCACTTCAACGGCGGCTGCGGGACACAAGGAGGGGTCAGTACAATGGTATGGGGTGAGGGAGGGACCATTATGTTCTTAAGCGTCTGTAGGTAGCGAATAGGTATGTTTTTCACACACACTCATTTACAAAACGGGGTTCGGAGTATGACCCAATCTCATTAAAATCAGATCTTAGTTCTCGCTATCGCTGAGGACATCCCATTAAGGGTCACGTCAGAACGACCTTCATCCAACCAATCAGAGCGTCGCTTACCAGATCATGAGAGTGACTGTCAGAATGTGTTTTCTAATTATGCAACCACGAAATATTTAACACGGGGTATTCCGAACGACATATACGGGTTTTATGATTATGTCCATGCAATCTAGGCCATCTATAAGCCATTCCAGAATGTTCTTCTTATCAGTTTTAATTTTTTTAATCGAGAATACGTCAAAATACGTTTCGAAGCGTAGTCGCCAGTTTGAAACTAGTGTCGTAAAGCTCGAGAAAGCTGCCTTCTGATTGGCTAATGTCGATTTCTTGTCAGTCATTTCATTGGTCGGTCAAAATTCGCGAAAGGTCGTTCTGACGTGACCCGTAATGGGATGTCCTCAGATCTTTGTGTAGCGGTTGCGAAAACTAAGATCTGATTTTAATGAGATTGGAGTATGACCCTAGCAACATATGCTGGCCGAAAGAATTACATGATGGTGGTGCTCCGGGACTTGGCGAATGGCGTGTCATCGTACCCGACTGGGTGGGACGTTGCTCATACTATCAATCACTTATCATCGATTGTATGATCGATTAATTAAAGGCCGTCGTCATATTGCTGGAATACTGCTGCGTTGAACAACAACAAAAGCAATAACTGGATATACAAGGCTGTCGAGTTTACCTTGAAGGTAGCGTTGGCTTGGCAGATTGCTGTGAAGTTCTTCCAATACTTGGGAGGGTTGTCTTCAAAGTTAGAATAGGGAAGCACGTTCTGTGACGACACCCGCACATAACGTCCGTACACCACGTCGTCGGTACCGTCTGAAAACAGAGAATGATAATCTATCTAGTCTTTCTAGAGGAACACCTTCAAGATGAGTCTCTCTCTCTCTCTCTCTCTCTCTCTCTTTTCAGTTTTACACTAACTCTGAAGGTCATATCTTTACCGACCCGTGAAGATCTGGGGTAGAATAGGTCCTCAGCAACCCATGCTTGCCCAAAATGGCGACTATGCTTGTCATAAGAGGCGACTAACGGGAAGGGGTGGTCAGGCTCGCTGACTTGGTTGATACATGTCATCGATCCCAATTGCGTGGATCGATGCTCATGATATCAATCACTGGATTGCCTGGTCCAGACTCGATTATTTACAGACCGCCGTCATATAGCTGGAATATTGCTGAGTGCGGCGTTAAACAACAAACAAAAACAAAATCATATCTTTACCCAGAAAATGAACGGCTTCGCTATGGGGTCCTGGTGGTAGGTAAATCGAAATGAATTTCATATGCAGAAAGGGGCGGTCGGGTAGCCTAGTGGTTAAAGCGTTCGCTCGTCACGCCGAAGACCCGGGTTCGAGTCCCGACATGGGTACAATGTGTGAAGCCCATTTCTGGTGTCCCTCGCCGTGATATGGCTGGTATATTGCTAAAAGCGGTGTAAAACCTCACTCACTCACTCACTCACTCACTCACTCACTCACTCACTCACTCACTCACTCACTCTCACTCACTCACTCACTCACTCACTCACTCATATGCAGAAAAGGTTGTGTCAGTTCAAACGCCTTACTTGCCGTGTGATTTGGTTTTGTTCAAATGGCAAAATGACTGGTGTGTTGTTTTTTTCTTTGGCGGAGGGAAATGTAAATCCCCCCTGGATTCGCCACTGCAGAAAGGGACATAACCGCGTACCCATGATTTGGAAATCAGGAAATTGGTACAAATTGGACAAATTAACTGTCTGGATTAACGAGTCCATGATTGTTGTTTTTTCAAATATATTTCATAATGGGATGAGTGCCTCGTGACATGAAACTCCGAACATGCTAGCTGGAATAGTTATGAGATTGTAATTCATTATTTGGAACGTCTTTTGTCTACCATCTCATACATAAATGTACATACTTACTCAAAGCATAAGCTTCTTCGGCGAGTGTGATGGCTCTATCGAAATCCCCGAACTGGAAAAGTGACGTATGCCGATATGAGTACACAAACATAGTGAAACAGGACAGTGTTAAAGTCATCACTAATGGTGTCAATTGTGCTGTTAAACGCATTTTACTTAATAAAAAAACGACTCGTGGTTGTTGTTTATCGTATTGTAAAACACTGCAGGGAGAAGAAACCATGAGGGGCGCAACCCCCCAGTTGTTTATTCCTACGATAAACAACGACCACGAGTCGTTTATTAATTACATGAGATATCAATATTATGTACAGCCTCTTCAAGGATGTACAAGCTTTACAAACATTTACTCATATTTAAATAATGATGACTCCCCGAATAGAATCCGACCTCGGCAATGGTGGACAAGTCCATTTTATAAACAGTGTGTGTGTGTGTGTGGGGGGGGGGGGGGGGTTCGTGAAAATTAAGTCTTTCCCGCATACTCTCACAATATTTACGTCAATTATCTGTACCTTTTCTCCCAATGCCGATTGTAATATCCCTCACACTTTTCGGGAAAAACCCAACTTAACCCACCTGTTCGTAAAATTGACTTGTCCAACATTTCCGAGGTCGTATTCTGTTCAGGGAGTCATCATTGTTTAAATTTCGGTAAATATTTTTAAAGCTTGTTCTTTGATTGGCATCCTTGAAGAGGCTGTAGATAATGTTGATATCTCATATAAGAAATATACAACTCCTACTCGTCGTTTATTTCTTTAATAATGTCTATCCATCATTGTACGAGTACGTCATGTGGTACGAACTAAACGCGGTGAAATCGGCCGTTATGAGGTTAACAGTGAAATCCTGCAATATCACCCGACTTCATTAATTGCGGTCCGAGGTATTTTGTAGTTCTCGGTATGAGCCGAGTAGACCCGAGTAAGGCCGAATGTTGACAGAAAACTCACCTGGCTATGTAAGAAGGCTAACTCTGTCAGCAAAATTGGAATATTTATTTCGGTCTTGTTACCAATCTTCTTGGACTGTTCCAACGCGACTTGGAACCACTGCAGAGCAATTCTTGGTTTGTCGTTTCCTTTGGCGAACAGAGCAAGGTCATAAGCGTCGATTACGGTCAAAGGGGAACCTTTTTGACCCATGATGTTACCGTCGAAGATGTCGCTAGCAGACAGATTGTAAAACAGGTGGACATAGATGATGTCGCCTAGGTGGTTGACCAGGTCAGTGCGGTCAGGGATTTCCTTCATTGTCACGTTCAGGAATTCCAATAATCCTGAAACAAAACGGTCACTTCTGATTGTATGAATGACTTCTTATCATATATAGACCCGTGAAGATCCGGGGTAGAATAGGTCTTCAGCAACCCATGCTTGCCGTAAAAGGCGTCTATGCGTGTCGAAAAAAAGGCAATTATCAATTATCATCAATCCCTGCAACTAATGCCAATATGTGTTACTTTCCCTGTTTATTGTGACTCCGTGCTGCTGATCCCATACAAGTGTATCAGTCCTTATGACACTATCACACTAGGTTGTCTGTAATGCTGTGCGAACAAACTTGACATTATATACCCTATGTACACTCCCTGCGATACACACATGGACAGTGATAACGTGAGTCCTCCGTATTGTGAAAACATATATATTTATATTGCCTATGTTTTACTTCATATAGGACCCGTTAAGATTCGGGGTAGAATAGGCCTTCAGCAACCCATGCTTGCCATAAGAGGCGACTATGCTTGTTGTAAGAGGCAACTAAAGGGATCGGATGGTCAGGCTCGCTGACTTTGTTGATGTCATAATGTCAATCACTGGATTGTCTGGTCCCAACTCGATTATTTACAGACCGCCCTCATATGGCTGGAATATTGCTGAGTGCGGCGTTAAATAACAAACAAACAGTCAATCCACTCATCATATTTAAGTCACTGTCGGTATAAGGACATCGTGTTGTTCAACATTTAGTATCAAGTTTGAAATCACGGAGAACAACGTCGTAGTATCAACACAAGTAATAATAATGATAAAGATCATATAAAAAGTACTTGCATTAAGAGTGAGTGCGTGAGTGAGTTGGGTTTAACGCCGCTTTTAACAGTATTCCAGTTATATCACGGCATGTCAGCTTAATGTGGGGGGAAAGCCCGAAGTGATGCAGGTCTCAGACGTTTTCCACTTCGGTGAAACCCACGAGCAGAGGTATGGTGCTGACAAAACCAAGAAACATAATCGGGGCGAACCGGGATTCGAACCCACAATCATAGGTGCACAGCGAATCGCGGCGCCTTAGACGACTGGGCCACCCGTGCCCCACTAGCATTAAGACGTTTTGTTTGTTTGTTTGTTGTTTAACGCCGCACTCAGCAATATTCCAGGTATATGACAGCGGTCTGTAAAAAATCGCGTCTGGACCCGACAATCCAGTGATTGACATCATGAGAATCGACCCACGCTATTGGGATACGATGACATGCATCAACCAAGTCAGAGAGCCTGACCACCCGATCCCGTTAGTCGCCTCTTAAGACAAGCATAGTCGCCTTTTACGGCATGGGTTGCTGAAGACCTATTCTACCCCGGATCTTCACGGGTCAGCAGCAGCAGCAATAGTAGTAGTAGTAGTAGTAGTAGTAGTAGTAGTATAATCGTGAAAGCCATGAAAATACAACCGAACTTTAATGCTGAGACAGAAGACACCTACTATATCCATACAGAGTTTCATTGTGAAGAAACGGGGTCCAGTTGATGACGAAGTTCTTAAAGCCCACAAGTGTGGATGTAGGATGTTGTATACGAAGACTCCGGATGTCGTCACTGACAGCACTGGCGTTCGCCTTGGCTACTTTGTAAAAGCTGAAACAGATAACGTGCAGCGTTCATTTAACGGTATCGGATACGACGAACCAAGCTAGCAGAAAGGGCTCTGGGGGTCAGACTTGGTGACGTGGCTAATCTTCCCGGCACATACTTTGTTATTTACGAGACGTCCTGCTGTAGAGGAAAGTCCCGAAAGTTACACGTCCTCCGGCAGCGTGCACTGCCGATAATCTGATTGTCTATGACGTCAGCTGATTGTTGACGTATTTATTCTGTGATGTCATGACTTATGGAGATACAATAAACAATGACGTTGCTTCATTGATGACGTCACAGATTCCTGCTTGGCGACATCACCGCTGTGTCCCAAACCGTTTGTGGACCCCTGTAATTATTTGGCAAGCGTCGCTCCTGATTATACGGGCCACTGAGACAGACATGCTCCCTTTATCAACCCAATAAGATGCTCTCTGTCATGAATTAGCACAGGTTGCAAACAAAATACACAAAATTTACAGCAAAGAACGCACATCAAATCCTAGCAACGAAACCAAGCTCAGGTAGACCACTGGCGTTTTTACAGTGATACATACGGCAGTATTTGGAAAGGGCCCTCATACTTACAACTGAATTCTATTAAAACAATCTGAAGCATCGTTGCACCTGCCGAGTAAATGAAGTGAAAATTCTATAATATACACAAACTAACTTCCAAAGGGGTGGTCGGGTAGCCTAGTTGTTAAAGCGCCGAAGACCCGGGTTCGATTCCCGACATGGGTACAATGTGTGAAGCCCATTTCTGGTGTCCCCCGCCGTGATATTGCTGGAATATTGCTAAAAGCGGCGTAAAACCATACTCACTCACTCACTCCTGCTGAAGTTGGAATGTTGCTGGCTGCGGCGTTTAACAAGATGCACTCACATCGCAAACAAGTACATTTAACTGGTTTCGTCGGGACATTTGGACAAGACGTCCAAGACGTGGTCATTCAGACCACAAGAAGGGATATTTTCTGTGTGGATAAAAAATATCCCAAGACATTGAAGGATATGCTTCCTTGTGCATTCCCCAATGACTATGTTCACTATGTTGTAATTTAAAATGTACAAGTTTATGAAATCCTGGTCATTAGGATACATCACAATAAATTTCATCACAATGTCAGTGTTTCTTCCACTTTAAGTTGGATACATTTCAATGCCAGAAAGACCCGGTATCGTTCGTCTTCCTTTTGGTGACGATTGTCTAAGGGCGGTAATGGATACTGTCGGTACTAGTATATGATGCGCACGTAAAATCATAGCTGCAAAGTGAGGAAATCAAATTTATTGAAATAAAATGGAATGAAATGAGGAAGGAACAAATTTTATGTTGTTTCCAACCAAAAATACCAACAAACACAACGGGACAAAATTAACCAAAGCGCGACAATACGACGGTCAAAATGCCGCCGTGTCGCATTGTCGCGGTTTGGTTAATATCAACGCTTTTTGTTGTTTTTGTTAGGGCGAATCTAGGATTCCATACAGAACGCAAGCGGTACTATATTATACTAAAACGAAAAACATGACCAAAATCATTTACCATGTTTACTTATTTGGGTTCTATTATTCCTCACTTAGATGAACAAAGACCCGATTAATCCTGCACCATGACTGAGGAATATATGTATTTTATGAAAACAAAACCAATTATATTTTAATAGATTCTGTAGTGTGTACGGAAGGTCCAGACAGCTCTATGTAATCAACACCAGGAATTATTTTGTAGAGCTGACAAATGTTTTGGGTTATAAATATTTCATAGACTCTATGTTATGACCAGCTGTGTGTTAGAACACAGATATGTGTTTACCGGTGTATTATTGTTTGTTTGTTTGTTTGTTTGTTGTTTAACGCCGCACTGAGCAATATTCCAGCTATATGACGGCGGTCTGTAAATAATCGAGTCTGGACCACACAATCCAGTGATTAATATCATGAACATCGATCTATGCAAATGGGAACGATGACATGCATCAACCAAGTCAGCGAGCCTGACCACCCGATCCCGTTAGTCACCTTGTACGACAAGCATAGTCACCTTTTACGGCAAGCATGGGTTGCTGAAGACCTATTCTACCCTGGAATCTTCACGGGTCACCGGTGTATTAAGATAAGGCATACACTGCTACACCACAAAAACATTTAATTGGAAAAGTTTTTGTTTTGTTTGTTCAACAACAACATGTCCTTGTGTCTTTGTTCATCTAAGTGAGGAATAGAACCCAACTATCCAATACCGTGCATCCTCGAATAACCGCCAGTCTCGATTAAACGGCGGGTAGTTGTTATGCGCGGAATTCTCCCCATTATTATCTCTGCGACTAAAAGCGGGGGGTAAATAGTGCCTGAAAGAAACATACGTCCCGGCGTTTAATCGAGGAAATACGGTAACCGCCCTGCGCCTCAAAAGGCGTAGTAATGCTGCATGACCTTCTGGGTGTATTAGCGACGACACACAAGATTTGAGTTAAGTCGAGGTGGTGTTTCTGCTTGTTCAATTCCTGAAAGAATAGTGTCATTTGAATGGACGTCAATTTTGAGATTCGTGCCATTCAACGGACCTCCATACTAAGCTACGGTGGCGAATGAGTCTAGGGTGTTTATCATTATAGCTGGCAGTACATACCTCGTCAGTGTCTCGATCCTTTGTTCCACGAAGGGAATTTCATCTTCATAACCTGACGACCTGGAATGTACGAGAACAATGTGACGTCCACCCTAGCATACTGTGAGTGAGGGATATGTGTTCGTTTGTTTGTTTGTTTGTTTAACGCCGCACTCAGCAATATACAAGCTATATGACGGCGGTCTGTAAATAATCAAGTCTGGACCAGACAATCCAGTAATTGACATCATGAGCATCGATCCATGCTATTGGGATACGATGACATACATACATCAACCAAGTCTGCGGGCCTGACCACCCGATTCCGTTAGTCGCCTCTTACGACAAGCATAGTAGCCTTGTACGGCAAGCATAGTCGCCTCTTACGACAAGCATAGTCGCCTTTTACGACAAGCATAGTCGCCTCTTACGACAAGCATAGTCGCCTCTTACGACAAGCATAGTCGCCTCTTACGACAAGTGTAGTCGCCTCTTACGACAAGTATAGTCGCCTCTTACGACAAGTGTAGTCGCCTCTTACGACAAGTATAGTCGCCTCTTACGACAAGTGTAGTCGCCTCTTACGACAAGTATAGTCGCCTCTTACGACAAGTGTAGTCGCTTCTTACGACAAGCATAATCGCCTCTTACGACAAGCATAGTCGCTTCTTACGACAGGCATAGTCGCTTCTTACGGCTAGCATGGGTTGCTGAAGTACGTATCGGATTTTTAATATAGGGGATCGTAGAATACCAGGCTAATCTATGACTGAAAGGCAGCCACGTGTGGTGGTATCCATGCAGACAGACAGACAGTTTAATCAGTTATTTAGGCATCAAGGCCCATAGTACAATGCAGATTGGATATTAACATTTGTCACGTGATGTACATGATCAGATTTTGAATCTAGTTACACATTCCTCATTATAAAGACATGTTTTAAGAATACAGAAACATCATGGATCATGTCAGGATTTTCAGAGTTTAGCAGATTTATCATTAACTGACGATTTTTAAAAATACCTTGCAACATGGGGAGAAATTTATATCTTCAATGGGAATACGTTTCACATATAAGTAAGACAAGGTATTCATCCTCTACTTCTCCGGGTGAACAGTTTGTACAAACAGAGGTCACAATATCACCGTCTTTGGACCTGCGACATACATTTACATTACAATTGAGCAATGAAATTCTAAGTTTGCAATAAGCTCTGATTAAACTTTTATCATTTAAACAAGTTAAATATCTTTCTGTTTGTAACAATGAATTTACTTTGCTGTAATCGCTAAGATAAAGGGATTCAGAAATTCTTTGGTGCCACTGTTGACAAAATATATCCTTTAGTCTTAGCTTAAATGAATCTAAAAATAAATGTGGATCTCCCACATATTGGGAATTCCTTACATATGAAAAGCCACTAACAAATAATAGATCTCTCACATCTGATATTTCAGAGCCATGCTGTGGTATACAGCTGGATATGAAGACTGGCAGATGGACAGACAGAATAATGATTAACAGTCAGACAAATACACCTTGAGACTAGCAGACATGCACACTCACACACAAATAGATTGACAGACACACTTGCAGAACAGACAGATTGTTTATTGAAAGGCAGACGGACAATCACGGAGACTACAGCAGACATACAGACACCCGCGCAAACTCGCGGACAGACACGATGATGCAGATACGCTAATGCAGAGAGACTTAGCGATAGCTGATTGACAGGCAGAGACACACAGATTGGGAGAGGTGTTTTGTTTGTTTGCTGTTTAACGCCGCAATCGGCAATATTCCAGCTATATGACGGCGGTCTGTAAATAATCGAGTCTGGACCTGACAATTCAGTGATTGACATCATAAGCATCGATCCACGCAATTGGGACCATGCATCAACCAAGTCAGCGAGCCTGACCACCCGATCCCGTTAGTTGCCTCTCACGACAAGCACACACACACACGCGCGCACACACTTTTTTAAAAGATGGTGACGATGTTACCGTGCTATAAACATATAACTGAATCACTTATTGATGTGTTTTAAACATAAACAACAAGTATTTGACTACACTTTTCAATAAAAGAAACCGAGGTAGTATATAATATATAATGCCTGATAATTCCACAAACGGTGCGTCAAACACAGTCATTGTCCATTTGCAATGTCTTGAACGGCGTTGTTTTCACACTTGTTCACAAATGTCATGGAGGATAACAGTAAAGCAAAATGCACGTGCAGGTTATGACATTCGTAACTCGTGGTAGTGGCTATAAGAAGGCAAGCATGAGCCAATAATTTGTCATTCAATTGTCAACATTTTTTAAGTTCGAAAATGCCCAGACTCAGCGTTGTCGATCGGAACATCGCCATAGGACGTATCCCAACAGGGGAATCGCAGACTTCTGTTTCATGCTACTTCAACGTCCACCATAACACTATTTGCCGCCTTTGTGACCGATACACACAGTTCAATTCCACTGCAGTCCGTCCGAGAACCGGCCGACCAAGAGTTACCACCCCTGCACAGGATCGCTACATTCGACTGTTCCACCTCCGTCATCGCAATGCCACAGCTCTGGATATCGGACCAGATTGTCAGGAACCATCTTCGCGAGGCTGGAATCCGACCAAGAAGACCAGTTATCGTCCCTGTTTTGCAACAGATCCATCGACAGCGACGCTTGCGTTGGTGCCACACCTTACAGCCTTGGAATTTGAGAAACTGGAGACGAGTGTTGTTTAGCGATGAATCACGATTTCTTCTTCACCGGCGAGATGGAAGGCAACGTGTTTATCGTCGTCGAAATGAGCGTTTTAGCCCACATTGTGTACGTCAATTCGACATTTCGGTGGCGGTAGTGTCATGGTGTGGGGGGCTTTTTCCTACACCACGACATCTGACTTGGTTGTGTTTCAGGGAAATTTGACAGCAAATCGCTACATGAATCAAATTCTTCAACCTCACCTTCTTCCAATCATTGACTGCCAGAGGGAGCTATTTCAAGAGGACAACGCTCCACCGCAAACAGCTCGTGTCACGGTATACTACCTTCATAATGCCAACATCAATTCTTGCCCTGGCCGTCGAGATCTCCAGATGCCAACCCAATCGAACACCTCTTGGATGAACTCAATCAAAGTCAGAACACGCCGCAGATACTCCCACAACTCGCCAACGCGTTACAAGCAGATTGTCGCAGAATTCCGCAGGATAGAATTCGTACACTTATCCAGTCAGTGTCGATGAGATGCAGAGCCGTGATGGCTGCCCGGGTCGGTCACACGAGATACTGAGTTCAGCGCAACCTTGTGACCTTATGTGACATGACAATGAAGAGTTTTCAATGCCTTTGTACAACAACGACAACATGTGACTATCGAGCTCCAAAATTTCATATTTGTATCCATGATATTAAATTATATATATCGACTTTATTAGGTACAATAAATTTACTAAAAACATGTGCGTTTCTTTTTTTGAAGAGTGTATGTTACGGCTTACCAACGCGAACTGATTCCCGAAAGAATATTTCGCTTTCAAGTAGAATTTTATTTTAAATTTCAAGTGTAACCGTCCACCACCACTTCTTTAAAAACTGATGACGTGATTTAATCAGTGACAGAGGAGCAATTTACTAGGCATACGAAATTAAGAGTTCAGTGGCGACGAAAACGCAATAGTAAGTGAGTATGGTTTTACGCCGCTTTTAGCAATATTCCAGCAATATCGCGGCAGGGGACACCAGAAATGGGCTTCACACATTGTACCCATATGGGGAATCGAACCCGGGGCTTAGGTGTGACGAGCTAACGCTTCAACCACTAGGCTTACCCCACCGCCCACCTAATACGTAATACATTGACCTAATTGTGATTGTTTCTTATTAATATATTATTTTATTTTGTGTTTTAAGTATGTTAATAACATAGAAAATTGTGATGTTTGTTTTAAAAAATCGATATTTTGTCATGAGAAGTAAAGAGTATAACATCACGTATTGCACGTGTATTCAAAAAGCTCCGTTCTTTCACTGAAACATTCATTCTGTTTTACACAGGCGTTTTGAATTTAATATCCTCCTTTACTTCAATAGTAACGAAATGTTATGACAGGTTCTCGCGTTTTTATTCTCCCGTTTAGAAGAAATATCTGACGTGTTTTGTATTTTTTAACCACATGACGCAACATTAAGTCATGTGATGAAATTATCAAATGACGTATTCAGATTAGACTAACGATTCGTCTCTGAAAATATACAATTGTGATAGAAACAAACTCAATTGAAATTGAAAAGGATCCCAGCTGAAAAGAAAGATTGAACCTGTAGAAATGCTAGACTTGCTTTATTTACTGCTATGGCAAAACAGTTAGGGATTGGCAAGAAGGGAAAATAATGCTTCGGGAACTGTAAGACAGACTAGTATTCCGATACACAATAGCATAGTACATTATGTCCCTACTATTGAAAATAATGTTTATTTATTAAACAGTGTGCATTTATACAATTACGGGTTGGTGTGTTGTTATTGTATGAGTCTCTTCTTACATTTCATATTTCCTTCAAAATAAAAGTTTTACACTGTAGTGACGATATGTACAAGTAGATCTTTTGTCCAAAGTCTTCGTAGCGGAAAGAATTTGTCAAATTTTACATAGAAACTTCCAGAACAGACAGTGTCGAATAAGACTAGTGTTGACGTTATTGTGGCTAAAAATCAATAGTTATCGATAAAATACGTTTCACATATCCGTGTAAACACAGTTAAATTAAATCCAATAGAATGTCATGACAAAAAGATAAAATTCCGAATAACAAATACAAAAATGTGTGTGTTGAAAGTACTCACTTTTTGATGATTTCGAGACGTTCGGTTTCATGCCGAATGTATCTTTCAAGACCATCGACAATTCGACTCTCGGCGTTGAAAAACATCTCGTATCGGTTAGTAGATAATTTTAAACCAACACATACATTTTGTGTGGTTATTATGTAGAATAAAAAGAAGCTTAAGAGGCACATTTTCGGAAGCATGTCTCGATCTACCATCCTGCAGTCCTTCCACGCAAATTTTGCTCCGTGGCACACATGTCGCCCTGCATCAAACAAGGCCTGTCACTGGAATTGTTTGTTTCTCGGCGCCACAGATGTGCCTAAAGCTGTTGAAAACTTGTATATTGATTATGATATCATTATCATATCAATTCTCGCACGTGCAAAATAAAAACTTGTAGACCTTTGTTTTAGTGGTAAAAACAGTTGAGTTTGATATATATTATAATATTTTGTATTCATATAACTAACAGTAAAATATTACTCGTTTGACCTCAGGATGAGGAAGTATATATTAAAATATTTTGATAGATAATATTTAACGAATGTTATTTACACTACAGAATCTTCCGCACTATTCATATAATTATGGAGTTAGAAATTGTGTGTTTAACATAAAAATATTCGGTTGGCCTTTTTGGTCAATATGCCAGTTATACTCTTCACATTGTGACCGGCGCAGGCAACAGTTGGTGTTGTATTGATTTTCATATATGCATAAATTATACCTTGCTAAACATTGTAGAAATTAATGATTCGACTTTATGTGAAAGTTTCTTTTATAATTCATTTACCAAAGTCAAAAGGAATTTATTGTTTTAAAGAACGAATATATCAATTTTAGCCAAAGCGCAGAATCGAGAATAATTATGGTCAAAGGGAGGTAATCCATTTTCATAAATCTATTTTGCTAGATCTCGTAGATTCTCGGATAATCGTCGCGTGATCTAATATGGCGGATAGGGAAGCGAACCGAGTGTAGCAAATGTATAAAATAATGTTTTTCCTGACGTAAATCTTACTATATGCATTTAGCATGGGAGGTAAAGACTCAAAGTTAGCTTTCATAACCTGTGAGGAGGCCGTTAAAAGAGGTAAGTCGTTCATATTGGGACTCAATTATGTCCTGACGGCTGTCAATCGAGGATAAGTGATCTTCATTTCCTAGCTGACGACAAAATTATTTCTGTCAAAAATTTGCGATCGATTCGAAGGGAAAAACAACAGTTTAGCAAGTATGTTCTAGATGGCAGTGGTGGATATGTTCAAATATACACATATCCTGATAGAAATATGTGACCAGAGAATATAATTATGCACCTTTCATTTATGATGTTTATTATAGTGTGTGTGTGTTTGTTGTGGTGTCATTCGCGAATTGCGCAATGAACCATTCCGTAATTTGACCACTGTATCGAACGGGATGTTGATTTGTATTGCATGTTGTGTGGATTTATTTGCAACGTGTGGCACGACAACCGTTTCCATTTTCACGTAACCCATGACTGAGGTCTACCTGACAACAGTGTGACGATGTGATTCGGGACTCCATATTATAAACACGCTTCAGGAACTGGCAGCTGTGTGTAATATATTTGATTACTAATGGTTTTAATGAATGTTCTTGATAACCATTTGGTTTGAAAAACAATAACCATTCAACCGTACCATAATACCGTAATAATAACTGAATTTTTTCAATTGACATGTTGATAACATGGATGTAAAAAGACCCTATGTTGTGACATTCATCAAGAATGTCATTAATAATGTGTCATCTGATTTGTTGGACATGTTGAAGAAACGTAGGACATGATCTGATTACCAAGTTTTATACAATATATCAAATATATCTGATGAAAGATGCCACAAAATAAATATCTGATGTTCAGTAGAGTCTGCATAACAATGATGAGATAAATCAATTTATGTATTTCATAAATATGTGTGTGTTTGTGGTTTTGTTTAATACTGTATATGAGCTTTGACCATGGTATTTGTGAGCACCGTACCAGTACTCGTAGGTTTCACCAAAGTGTTATGTTGAGTATGTTATGGAACAACAGTTAGTGCCAAAAGTTTTAAAGCCCACAAGACCAGAATTGGCCCTTTAGCATCATTGTCAATATATTTTCATTGCTATTCAGCGTTAGAAATTGGCACTAGTCCTGTTGTCCTTACCAAACTGTCCAATAGTAAAGGTATCCTAAGACTAGTAGAAATTGGCCCATTTTAAGGGTTTGGCTATATGTTATCATTATAAGGACTAGTGGACAAAAACTGTTAGTTTCTAACCCTGCTATTGAATGGACAATTATTATCTGAGCTTACTAGACTGAAGAGAATGGACTAATGGCTAAAGTCGCAGACTGGAATGACATTGTTACCATGTGATGTGTGATTTAAAATATTAATTACTGTCATGTTTGAGAAAAATGTTTGAAATTCCAATGGTTAAATAGTAGTCAGTCTCTCTCTCTCTCTCTCTCTAACATACCCGTTGCCTAATGGTAAAAGTGGAAGTCTATACTGAGGATATGTCACTAGTCCTTCCTGAATTGTACTGGCTGTGGACTAGCCTACTTACGTTAATTTCCAATCCAGTCTACAACGTTAGAAATTGGCACTAGTCCTGTAGTCCTTGCCAAACTGCCCAATAGTTGGTATCATAAGAACTAGTATACATTAGCCATGTTAGCCATTGTTAAGGGTTTTGCTATATGTTATCATTATATGGACTAGAGGACTAAAACTGTTAGTTTCTAACGCTGGTCTCTTTTCTTTAACATGCCGTCTGAGAAACCTGTGAAGACCAGTGCATAATCAGCATCATACTCTAGTAGAACGTTATGAACATGTGAGTCGTGTTTGTATTAGTTGGCAACGGATGGTGGGTAGTAAAAGCGGAGCGGTACAAAAATATAATTTCAGACTTAGGGTAAGACAAGCACATAGTTAATATATAATTTTGATAGAAATAAGAAACTACATTAAAATCTATAAGGAGCCCCAGTGTGAAGGGAGATTCAGAAACCGTTTCCTTTAGAGTTATAGTGTTCAACTGACATGATTCAGGGCTGAGTGGAAGGGAAAATGATATGGTTGAGGGGCTGTGAGACAGACCTAGGGGTTGTCGTGGCAGTGATGCAGAGATTCTAGGGTACGAGGACTCCACAGAGGACAATGGTCAGTTGTCTGACCAGTCATGTTCATCATGTTTATGTAACAAGTACAAATGGCAGACATGCATGACCCATATGTTATGTCACATGTTTCTGGGTGACCTTGAGATGTTATAACTCATGATGCACGATCTAGTTGACATGTCGATGTGACTGAGCTTTGGACATGCATTTTCGTAAAATTTACCTCTAAGAATGGTCTTCTCCATAACTTCTTCATGATCATGGCACAGTATCGGGTACGTTCTTTGTGCACTGTTTAGTGTGTCGGGTTTTTATTTTAAAAATTGGAAATAGGCAGCCAGTGTAAATTTGAAAAACCGATTTGATACCTAAGCCTGGAATAGGTATTGGCCATTTTGTATTTGAATTTACAAGATCTTCATTTGCGATTGGGTATGGTTTGGGTTTTTATAAGTTGAAAATGGTTGTAATAACATTATAACAACAATAAGCATGATCAGAAACGATGAATTGGATTAATGTTCTGAAATACGTTTTCTAGATTTGACCATAGGATATGGAATCTGATATTTATGTTAATGATAGTCATGATAATTACAGACACATTTACATAAATAGGTTGAAGAAATATTGATCATGATTGATAGTGATCCAATTGTTTTTGTCATATACCATGTATACTGTAGATCTTGAAATTAATGAGTCTCCAAATTAATATGACTGCTGACCCCCAGCCAAAAATGTGACTCAAAATAAATGAGACTTCCTCCACCCCCACCCCCACCCCCACCCCCACCCCATCTCCAGTGGAATGATTCATATCCTTAACTAAATCCAATCTAACAGCAAATAGCACCGCTCATTTGCACAGACTAAGGCACTTCCTTACAATAAACAGTGTTTTCCTGAAAACAACACACAGTTTATATATTTATTCTGGAAGTTCAAAGGCAATAAAATAATTGATCCAATAACAGTTCACTAATTGGAGTGGTCAGTTCACTGGTTGGAGTGGTCAGTTCACTGGTTGGAGTGGTCAGTTCACTGGTTGGAGTGGTCAATGCTCTTGACCCCAGCAGTGATAACTCACCAGAATCCTATTGTGTAATTCCTATTCTTTGCATGACATTGTTATATACTTGTTACAACTGCTGCTCAATAAACCGTGTTTGTGTATGTATTCAAGTTGGTATTTCCGCTATCCAAAGTGTGCAGATTGTTGATAATCATTTTGGAGACATTAATGCAAAGTTTCATTAATGCGAGCAAAGACCACTTGCATTTTTTGTCCAAGAACAAAACTGGTTCAATTTCACTGACTGGTAAAATTGAGTAGTCTCCCTTGGATATTTAACATTATTGACATTGGGTAGACTGTTTGGGGGAGTGCACCCAAGGCTGGTAAATATGAGAAAGAATAAGCAGCTGACATGAGGGAACTCTAAACAATATTTAATAATATTGCAAAATATTGTAGTCTCTCACTCCACGTTGTACAGACCCTGAACAAGCATATCAGTATATCCTAAACAAGCATATCAGTATATCCTAAACAAGCATATCAGTATATCCTAAACAAGCATATCAGTATATCCTAAACAAGCATATCAGTATATCCTAAACAAGCATATCAGTATATCCTAACAAGCATATCAGTATATCTTAAACAAGCATATCAGTATATCCTAAACAAGCATATCAGTATATCCTAAACAAGCATATCAGTATATCCTAAACAAGCATATCAGTATATCCTAAACAAGCATATCAGTATATCTTAAACAAGCATATCAGTATATCCTAAACAAGCATATCAGTATATCCTAAACAAGCATATCAGTATATCCTAAACAAGCATATCAGAATATCCTAAACAAGCATATCAGTATATCCTAAACAAGCATATCAGTATATCCTAAACAAGTCTACAATACTTTGGCAAGTCTACATTTCGTTAGTTTCAGGTGGAAAGATTCTCTGGGCTCCTTTCTATAATACTATTAATGCCAATTTATATTTTTTTCAAATCTTGAAATGTTTGCATTTCAGAAACATAATGTTGGTCAAGAACATATTGCAGGACTCTGTGTCCTGCTGTTAACATGGTTACGTGTTATGTACAATTATTTCTTTAAGACAAAAGTGTTTGCCTTTTTCCCAAGTATCTCATGTTTTCCAAAGGGTGCATGCATAACTTCAAGGGTGCAAACAAATATCAAACTTCAAAGTTTGCATACAAATGTATTGAGGTGCATAAGTATTTTGAAGTTCAAAGCTTGCATACAATTTTAATGACGTATACAAACTTCAGACTTCAACATGTTCAAAGTTTGCATTCAAATTCATTGAAGTGCATATGAATTTGAATGATGAATGTAAACTCTCCCAACCAAACTATATGTCAAACCCTATGTCATGTTGCATCTTCAGTAGCCAATCTCTAACTTCTTTCTAAAATTCAGTAAATTTATTACGAGCCCACTTAGCTATTTAAGTAACCCTTTGTGATAACATTCCCCAACTCGCATGTGATTCAAAAGTATTATGTTTGTCTTGCAGCGTAATATTGATGGTGACGCTCATGTTTTAACTAAGGTTAGTCTGGTCATGCCAAGCCCTGATTATATGTATTTGAATAGAAGCAGCTGAGAATAAGTACTTGCAGTAAGGTCAAGTGAGTGCATGGGATGAGTTGGGTCGATCATCTGGAAAGTAAATATCTCCTGCTGAGTGCATACTACACTGTGCCAGTGAACCGTGACATCATTGACCTGGCACATTATAGACAGCACTGATAATAACATGGAGAGCTGAACATGTTGAAATGAGACACTGAAACTGATTTATCCATTTTGGATTTTAGAGCCTTTTTATGGTAGAAGAAAGAACCCAAAAAGTGCCTGAGTATATTATTCTCACAAATATATGATTGTGTGATCTTTCATTGT